GCTCACTGAAACCTCTGCCTACTGGGTTCAGGTGATTCTCCTGCCTCAGCCTCCCAAGTAGCTGGGATTACAGGCATGTGCCACCACGTCCGGCTAATGGGTTTCACCGTGTTGGCCAGGATGATCTTGATCTCTTGACCTAGTGATCCACCCGCCTCGGACTTCCAAAGTGCTGGGATTACAGGCGTGAGCCACCGCACCCTTTTTTTTTTAATTAAAAAAAATTTTTTTTTGAGGCCAGGCATGGTGGCTCACGCCTGTAATCCCAGCACTTTGGGAGGCCGAGGCGGATGGATCATGAGGTCAAGAGATTGAGACCATCCTGGTCAACACGGTGAAACCCCGTCTCTACTAAAAATACAAAAATTAGCTGGGCATGGTGGCACATGCCTGTAGTCCCAGCTACTCGGGAGGCTAAGGCAGGAGAATGGCTTGAACCCAGGAGGCAGAGGTTTCGGTGAGCCAAGATCACGCCATTGCATTCCAGCCTGGGTAGCAAGAGTGAAAATCCATCGTAAAAAAAAAAAGATTTGTTTTTGGAGAGATGAAGGATAGAAAGATGAAAGATGGGCCGGGCGCGGTGGCTCAAGCCTGTAATCCCAGCACTTTGGGAGGCTGAGGTGGGTGGATCACGAGGTCATGAGATCGAGACCATCCTGGTCAAAATGGTGAAACCCCGTCTCTACTACAAAAAATTAGCTGGGCATGGTGGCACATGCCTGTAATCTCAGCTACTTGGGAGGCTGAGGCAGGAGAATTGCCTAAACCCAGGAGGCGGAGGTTGCGGTGAGCCGAGATCGTGCCATTGCACTCCAGCCTGGGTAACAAGAGTGAAACTCCGTCTCAAAAAAAAAAAAAAAAAAAGAAAGATGAAAGATGAAGATAAAGGACTGTCAGGGGCCAGGCGTGGTGGCTCACTGTAATCCCTGCTCTTCAGGAGGCCAAGGCAGACAGATCACCTGAAGTTAGGAGTTCGAGACCAGCCTGGCCAACATAGTGAAACCCAGTCTCTACTACAAATACAAAAACTAGCCGGGCGTGGTGATGTCTGCCTGTAATCCCAGCTACTCGGGAGGCTGAGGCAGGAGAATCGCTTGAACCCAGGAGGCGGAGGCTGTAGTGAGCTGAGATGCGCCACTGCACTCCAGCCTGGGTGACGGAGGAGATTTCATCTCAAAAGAAAAAAAGAAGAAGAAAAGGACTGTCTGGCAGGAAGGATAATTTTTTGCTCTAATTTTACACTTTCTACAATGTTTCCTCTTTCCCACTGTAGGATTCTTCTATTGCCTTTTCTATCTTTAAATGAAGAGCAATCACCTGAGATTATGGGCTGGTTTTTTTCTCCTTTTAATATTGTGGCATATTTTAAAGTTATTTATACTAACAGGTCCAGCATGGGGGTTCACACCAATAATCCCAATACTTTGGGAGGCAGGAGGATCGCTTGAGCCTAGGAGTTCGAGACTAGCCTGGGCAACATGGCAAAACCCCCTTTCTACAAAAAATACAAAAATCAGCTGTGCATGGTGCTGCCCACTTGTAGTCCCAGTTACTAAGAAGGCTGAGGTGGGAGGATCACTTGAGCCCAGGAGGTCGAGGCTGCACTGAGCCTCCATCTCCCAGTAATTATACCACTGAACTCCAGTCTGAGTGACAGAGCAGGACCCTGTCTCAAAAAAAGAAAAAAAAAAGTTAATAACCGCTGGGCACAGTGGCTCAAGCCTGTAATCCCAACACTTTGGGAGGCTGAAGTGGGATGATCACTTAAGTCCAGGAGTTTGAAACCAGCCTAGAGATCCCATCTCTATAAATTAAAAAATATATTATTAAAAAGAAAAAAAGTTTGGCCAACTTAGTTTAAAAAAAAGAAAGAGAAAAAAATTACTTTTTTCTATTTTATTTTTATGAATGTAGTGTCATTTTAATATAATTAAAAGTATATTGGCCGGGTGTGGTGGCTCACACCTGTAATCCCAGCACTTTGGGAGGCCGAGGCAGGTGGATCACGAGATCAAGAGATGGAGACCATCCTGGTCAACATGGTGAAACCCCGTCTCTACTAAAAATACAAAAAATTAGCTGGGCATGGTGGCGCGTGTCTGTAATCCCAGCTACTCAGGAGGCTGAGGCAGGAGAATTGCCTGAACCCAGGAGGCGGAGGTTGCAGTGAGCTGAGATTGCACCATTGCACTCCAGCCTGGGTAACAAGAGCGAAACTCCGTCTCAAAAAAAAAAGTATATTAATGTAACACCAAAGGGGAAACTGCATTGCCTCAAGGAAGAATGGGGATGCTGAATGACTCCAGAGCCCTGAAACCCTGTCCAGGGGCCCCCGCAAAAACAGGCCCAGTCTAACATCAGAGTAAAGGAGTAAACTCTGATTAGAAGCCCAGGAGCTGAGTTTGAGTCCTGACTGCCACAGCTAGCACTGTGGGAAGATCACCTAAGAAAACTAAACCCCAAATCCCAGTTCATAAAATAAAAAAGTTGAGACATCTCTCCCACAATTCTCCGTGTGCCTCTGCTCACACAGACCCACAAAGTGTTCCTCAAATGCCACTGTGTGTGTGTGTGTGTGTGTGTGTGTGTGTGTGTGTGTGTGAGATAGAGAGATAGAGAGAGAGAGAGAGAGAGAGACAGGGTCTCATGTTGTCCCCAGGCTGGAGTATGGTGGCGCCATCAAGACTCACTGCAACCTCCACCTCCTGGGCTCAGAAAATTCTCCCACCTCAGTCTCCTGAGTGACTGAAACCTTCGGTGCGCACCACCAAGCCTGGCTAACTTTTGTTATTATAGAGACAAGGTCTTACTATGTTGCTCAGGCTGGTCTCAAATTCTTGGGCTCAGGTGATCCTCCTGGCCTCAGCTTCCCAAATTGCTGGGATTACAGGTGTGAGCCACTGTGCCCAGCCTCAAATACCACTTCTAACCTTGGCTTCCCCGGGGTTGGGCCACAGCTCTTCTGTGGCAGCTTTGCTCTTCCTACCAGGGTTTCCTTGTCACCTTGGCACACCCATTCCTCCCTGCTCAGAATCCCCTCTGCAGCCCCTTCAAGAGAACTCAAGGTTCTCTTGAGTTACAAACTCCTGCATGGGGTCCCTGGAGCCCAGGTTAAGGCCTTCAGCAGCCGCCTACGGATCCCCAGGGGAAGGAGTGTCCTCCTCACTCAAAGCTCACCTATTCAGGTGAGACCTCAAAGGGCCACTCTGCAGCTCCCCTGGTTATGGTCAGTTCTCCCCACAGCCAAGGCCCTGTGTGTCCACCAATCGTCCAGCCGGAGCAAACTAAGACACACTTTCTTTAACAAGACAGAATTTTTCACTTCTCGCCAAATCCCACAGCGCAAACCCCACCCGTCAGCATGGAGGGCAGACTGGGTCTCCGCACCGTCGTGTGAGGGTGTCCAAAGCCGCCCCGGTTGGAGAAAGGCCCGAGACCGAAGTCCCTCCCGCGGGCTTCCTGCGTCCGGGGATTAGGAGGCACAAAGGGCCGGCAGGGACACAGCCCAGATGGCAGGGGCAGGGGCTAAGCTGCCGGGGCACCGCGCTCCGGCCGCCGCCCGTGGGGAGGGGGGTCACTGCAGATATGTGGTCGCCGGCCTCGCTGGCCTCCTGCCTGCATGTGGGCCCGGGGACTCCGTCTCCGCCCGCGGTGCCCCCAGAACCCAGCCGTGCCGGGCACCTGTTCTCCGGCTCCCCTAAGCCAACAGTGTTGTGCAAGCCCAAGCCCAAGTTTCAGTCATCGCGCGGATCAGGCAGAGAGAAGTTCCCCGCGGAACTTTCCACAGGTGTCTTTCTCCCAGGCCAGCCCAGCGACGCGGACAGGGGCGAGGCGCGTGGACCTGAGCGGAGCTCTCCCGCCCCGGCCGGGAGGCCCAGGGGTCCCGGCTCTCCCCGGCCTCCCCGCCACGGGTGGGCGCCCCAAGGGGGCGGGACCGGCTGAGCGAGTCCGGCGCGCACCTCACCTGGAACCCTGGCCCGGCCCCCGCCCGAGGCCTCGGCGTCCCTCGGCGCCCGCCACCGGCCCCGCTCGCTCTGCCGCGCCGGCCCACCGGCTGCTGGGAGTCCGTCTCCTTCCTGCTCACCTCCGGCGCGGCGAGCCTGGGGCGGAGCCGCGTTATTTACATAAAGGGCGAGCCGGCCGGGCCCAGGGCCCCGCCCCTGGCCCGGGCCCGCCCTCCAGCTCGGCGCCGACGGGGCGGGGGCGCCCTCGGGGGCGGGGACCGAACTCGAGCCAATCCGAGGTCCGGGGTAGCGTGAGGCGGGGCCTTGCGAACAGGCTCGGGGCTCCGCGGGCCCGCCCCGGCCTCACCTGCGCGCACCTGGACGCAGGACCAAGCGCTGCGCCCAGAGTTCCGCCGCCTCCCGCAGGCGGAAGTAGTTCCTGGAACCCCCGCGGCCCGGGGCTGCCCCCCAGACTCCGGAGGAGCCGTCCCTCCAACTCCCCGGAGTTGCCGAAGGAAGGGCGGAGCCGGGCTAGCTCCTCTGCGAGCGCCCAGCCCCGAGAGGGTGACAGGGGGACGAAGGACCGGGTTTCCAGCCACACGAGAGGGGTGGTGTGGGAACCGGGGCGTCTCGACGAGACGCCTTTCTTCAGGGGCGGGAACCCCACCGCCTCGGTGTCGACCCGAGAGTCTGCAACAGCGGCTGGAGTTTTTAGCACAAGCAAGGGAGGGCGTCGGAGCAAGGCGGGAGCAGAGGCCCGGGTTGCAGCGGGCTCCACCGCCCAGCTGCAGGTGGCGCCTCTCGCCACCCGCACCCCGCTGCGCCCAGGTAAGGGCCTTGGGCGAGCCGTCCTCCCTCCAGCAGCCCTGTGATGTCTCATCTCCTCCGCCGCAGGCCCGGGAAAGGCTCAAAAGGTTCGAGGTCGCGTTCCTGCCCTCCCGCAGGCTTCCCTCACTCTTAGGTCCCGCACCAGAGGAAGCCGATCTCCTGGAGTGAATAAATCAGGGGTGAGGGGCTGGGGCTAGAGGGGTTTACCTAGTATATACAGAAACAGCAGAAAAGAGATTTATTTTTTAATGGCTTTGGCTTTATGGCACGGAAGCAGGCACCCTCTCGTTAAAGGCACAGAGTCCTCTCTTCTGCCCCACCTCCTGGGTCCTTAAAATCTAATCCTGAGTTCCAGGGGGGGTCACTGCAAGGCAGCAGGGAAGGGGAAAGGGTCACAGTTTCACTCTTCATATCAGACACCCAGGGCCAAGGCCCAGACTGGCCCCTGAAGCTACAGGTTAGAGTCTGGGTAAAGGAGGCAGCCAAGATGGTCCCTGAGAACAAACAGTCCCGGTCCCCTGGAGCAAGCTCCATCCCCTGCAGAACTGTGAGGTCAGTGCTCCACATCCTGGGGCAATGTGAAGTCCCTGAAGCTGTAGAAGGAGATGTCACCATGATCCACCAGGGCAAAGATCAGAGGGACATCCCCACTCTGGTAAGACAACCGCTTGAGGCTGCAGAGGTCTGGGACAGGCTCATCAAATCTGCAGGGATAAAGGGTTAGAGTGAGACCCAGCCATAACCCACTCCTAAGCTCTATGGCTCTCAGAGAAGGGAGATTCTAAGGCAGGAGCTGGGGTGCAAGAATTCTGGCCCAGGATTTCCTGTGTCTGTAAAACATAGGACTCTGATGAAGAGAGCCCCAGAACCCTGGTTGGGGAGGTGCTAAGAACAAGGTGCCCACCACTCTCAGCCTGTAAATCCCCCCAATCCACATCTCTTCTGCTGGGTGAGCCCTAGACTAAAATGGAACTGGTGAGAGACTACCCTAAAATGCCAGCAATGAGGCGCTCAGAGGAAGGCAGCACAAACTGGCTGTGTGGCCTTGTGTGGGTTGCGTAGCCTCTCTGGACCTCAGGTTCCTCTCAGAGATTGGCACACCGGCCAGGGGAGTGCAGAGGAGTCCCACTGGGTTCACAAGAGAACTGGCACCAGCTGGGGGAGGGCAGTGCTGGCTCACTGCATACCCACTAATGCACATCCGGGCATAGGGTTTGCCAGGGTTATTCTTTCGGAATGTGGCCACAGCGTCCGCCTGGTAAACATCAAAGCTGATTTCCAAGCCCCCAGAATTCTCCGGCAGCCTGATGACACAGTGAGAAATGTTAGGACATGAACTCTTCTTCCCAACCTTTCTTTTCCACCCTACCCTTTCCCACCACTAATTCCTGGAAGCAGCCACTTGAGGGTGGGGGACTCTGAACCCTTGGGCTAACCCACTAGTTGTTTCTCTCTCTTCCCTAGACACACATGAACGTTAGTTATGGCTCAGAGCTAGGCATGGGGGTAGAGGTCCCTAGAACAGTCCTCTAGCTCACACCCTATTTCAGGAGGCAAATCCTAACCACCAACTCTTGGTGGCCAAGGTACTGTGGAGATGTCACTGCTTGGAAACTTACCAGGCACCTCCATCAGCAAGGTGTGTGGTCTGCAGCACAGAGATATGCTGAAGGACCATGGCTACAAGGACAGAGAAAACAAGGTACTGGGGAGGGAGTCACACTTCTCAGTCCACCATCTAGTTTAGGATTGCCAGATGTACCAACTTTTTTTTTTTTTTTTGAGATGGAGTCTTGCAGAGCCGTGATCTCAGCTCATTGCAACCTCTGCCTCCCAAGTTCAAGCAATTCTCCTGTCTCAGCCTCAGCCTCCCAAGTAGCTGGGATTACAGGTGTGTACCACCATGCCTGGCTCATTTTTGTACTTTTAGTAGAGACAGGGTATCACCATGTTGGCCAGGTTGGTCTCAAACTTCTAACCTCAGGTGATCTCCCCACCTCGGCATCCCAAAGTGCTGGAATTACAGTCATGAGCCACAGCGCTTGGCCTAGCAACATTTTTTTTAGTATAAGCATATCCCATGCAAGTTTTGGAACATACTTATACTAAGAAATTAGTTGTTTACCTGAAAGTCAAATTGAACTGATCTGGCAATCCTATCTAGTTATCTACAATCTACCATGTTCCCATGAAAGCTTTAAGTAGTTTGGAATCCGTTAATACATTAGTTTTTTCTTTCCCCACTGGTTCCCTGTGCTTAGAGCAGACAGCAAGCCTTCCTTTCACTTGGCCAAGAAGGCACCTCCTTCTTCCATCTAATAGGTTGGGATCACAGCTAGATGGTGGCAAAGCCATCCACATGCATGTTATGATTTTAAGGATATGGTCATAGTTTCCACCCCTCCTTACCCCTCCTGACTCACCATCTCTAAGCTTTCCCACACAGGCCCTGCTGCTCCCTGGGAGAACGGACCTCCCTTGTGGGTCCACTCCCTCCTCCCACATCTTTCTTAAGCCTCAATCTGTCCCAGTTCATCTGTGCCCCTTCCAAAGTCCTGTGATTCCTCAGCTGCCAGTGGCCCTCGAGGATGTGGCAGGCTGAGGGGGTACCTGGGGAGCTGGCCTGGCCTGGACTCAGCAGGGGTGTGACGGCCTGGCCCCACAGGTGAGGGGCCTGGCTCTGGTCCCTCTGCAGCTGCCTTCGCTGCAACAGCTCCTTGTACTCTCGCCAGCTAGAGCAGCGCTGCACCTCGGGATCGGCATTGACATCCTCCCGGAAGTGCGTGGCCTCCATGTGGTGCTCCCGTTCCCATCTGGAGAGCTTCTCCTTGCGCTGGTTCAGCTTCTGGCACCATGACTCTGCATCTGTCTCCCGCCCAGCCACATTGGCTGGGAGCAGCTCTGGGGCTGGGGCGCACAGGAGGGTGTGGCAGTTGTCTGAAGCCATGTTGGGGAAGGAGATCTGCTCGAAGTTCCAGCGTGGCTTGCCAGCCCCCGTGACTCCTTTCTCAGCTCTGCCATTCTCCCAGCTGCACCCCACCCCCTTCCTGGCCAGGCCAGGGCTGGGCCCCAGGGACCCCAGAAGCTGAAAGGGGCCACCTGGGCCCTTCATGGGGCTTGACTCCTGGGGTTTCTCCTCTGGGCATTGGCTGGGCTGGCTGGAGGGAGGTGGGCTGGAGGCTGCCAGATTCTCAGGTTGCAGGGAGTTCTCCAGGGCCTTGGCCTTCTTATTAATGGACCTGAGGGACGTGGGGGGAAAAGCAGCACATCTGCCCCTGGGTGCTAAGGTGCACAAGTCCCATGGGAGATGAAGACAGGTCCCCTAGTGTCTTCCTGAGCCTGCATGGGAGCTGCCCAAGCCTAGTTCTTAGAAAAGCCTGTGCATTTTCCAAGGTCCCAGACACCAGCACTCCCTGGGGGGTGCCCTTGATGTGGGCTTTACCGAGGGCTGGAGCTGCTTCTCTTTCTTTTGCCATCTCCATCCTCCAGGTGCTGCATGCTGCCGTCCAAGTTAAGCTGCCTCTCATACGGGAACAGGACAGAGCTGTGGGGTGAGAAGAGCATGTGGGCCACTGACCCACCTCCTCAGCCTGGGGATCTGGTGTGATACGTGAGGAAATGGGTCAAGGGGACAGTCGGTGGGCCAGGATCGGAGCCATACCCAAGGGCTAAGGCCCCAGACCTGCAGGAGGGGTACAGGCCCAGCCACACGGCCCAGCCACGTTCCTCTGCCTAGGCAATGGCCCAGAGGAGCTGGCAAACTTGGAAAATACAGAAAAATAAAAACCTTGGATAACTGCTATTAACACTTTTTTCTTTTATGTAATCTCTCTCCATATACATACATACATATATATACATACATATATATATGTATGTATGTATTTTCTGAATGAGACTCAATGTTCATATATTTTTGTCTAACAAAAATGGCATTGTACTAGTATACTGTTTTGTGATCTTTTTTTCACTCAGTAATATATTATGGACACAGACCCCTGTCACTGCGGCATTCTTCCCTGCTGTGAATTTTCTTTGTTTTGAGATGGAATCTCGCTATGTCACCAGGCTGGAGTGTAGTGGTGTGATCTTGGCTCACTGCAACCTCCCCTTCCCAGGTTCAAGCAATTCTCCTTCCTCAGCCTCCCAAGTAGCTGGGACTACAGGCATCTGCCACCACGCCCAGGTAATTTTTGTATTTTTAGTAGAGACGGGGTTTCACCACGTTGGCCAGGATGGCTCTATCTCTTGACCTCGTGATCTGCCTGCCTCAGCCTCCCAAAGTGCTGGGGTTACAGGTGTGAACCACTGCCCACTGCACCCGACCCCTGCTGTGAATTTTTAAGGCTCTAAGATTATGATGTTCAATACAGGAGCCACTAGCGACAGGTGACTATTTAACTTTTCTTTTTTTTTTTTTTTTTGAGACACAGTTTCACTTTGTCGCCCAGGCTGGAGTGCACTGGCACTATCTTGGCTCACTGCAACCTCTGCTGCCTGGGTTCAAGCAATTCTCATGCCTTGGCCTCCTGAGTAGCTGGGACTACAGGTACCCGCCATCACGCCCAGCTGATTTTTTTTTTTTTGTATTAATATAGATGAGGTTTCACCATGTTGCAAGGCTGGTGTTGAACTCCTGAGCTCAGGTGATCTACTCGCTTCAGCCTCCCGAAGTGCTGGGATTACAGGTGTGAGCCACCATGCCCGGCCTATTTAAGTTAATTTAGATAAATTTAAATTAAATGAAAATAAACACTCAGTCCCACAGTTGCTCTAGCCCCATGTACTGGACAACACCGACACAGAACATTTTCATCACTACAGAAAGTTCCACTGCACAGAGCTGCTCTAAAAGAACACCTCTAATATGTGTGAGCCTGACTCTTGTTCTGCTCTTGTTTGCAAGTACACTGATTTTGCACAGTAAGGGTGTTCTGTGTGACTCCTCACTAAATGCAAGCTCTGTGAGGGCAGTGATTTTGCTCTTCTGTTCTCAGCAATGTGTACCGGGCTTGGCCCCCAGCTAACAGTCAACAAATATTGTTGATCATTCTCACAGGTGAACCACTGTACACCTCTACGATTATTTCCTTAGGATAGATTCCACTTTCAGAAAAGACAAGACATAAACCTGAGCATGGTGGCTCACGCCTGTAATCCCAGCACTTTGGGAGGCTGAGGCACCTGGGCAACATGGTGAAACCCCATATCTACTAAAAATTTTTTTAAAAATTAGCAGTGCGTGGTGGCACCTGCCTATAATCCCAACTACTTGGGAGGCTGAGGCAAGACAATCACTTGAACCCAGAAGGCAGAAGCTGCAGTGAGCTGAGATCATACCACTAAACTCCAGCCTGGGTGACAGAGACTCCGTCTCAAAAGGAAAAAAAAAAAAAAAAGAAAAGAAAAGAAAAAAATGGGCTGGGCAAGGTGGCTCACACCTGTAATTCCAGCACTTTGGGAGGCCAAGGCGGGCGGATCACGAGGTCAGGAGTTCGAGACCATCCTGGCCAACATAGTGAAACCCCATCTCGACTAAAAATACAAAAATCAGCCCGTGGTGGCGGGTGCCTGTAATCCCAGCTACTCAGAAGACTGAGGCAGGAGTATTGCTTGAAACCTGGAGGCAGATGTTGCAGTGAGCCGAGATCACACCGCTGCACTCTAGCCTGGGTGAAAGGGCGACCGACACTCAGTCTCAAAAAAAAAAAAAGAAAAGAAAAAAAGATGTCCCTGCTTTAGAGCTTTTGTGACATACCGTAACTGCAAAAGCTGTACCCATTTTCATTCCAAGTCTGAAGGTCTCTGCCTCTTAGCAATGCTGAATTACTAAGCTGATGAAAGAAAAAACATTTAACCTGGCATTAAAAAGGCGAAACCCTACTAACTATAAATTCCTCACACAGTCCTTCATTTAAGCATACACTCTACGTATCTGCCTGTGCACCTACTAAGTGTCGGACACTGTTCCAACCCTGTCTCTCAGTGCTCACACTCAGATGCAGGCGCAGGTCACCTGAAGATGGGGCTCAATTTCATAACCCAGAATAAAGTGCAATGACCTGGATTCCTCCCAACCTGCCTCTCTCAGAACGCTTCCAGCAGAGGCTCCCAGTCCATGTCTAAGGAGCTGCACTCCAGCCAAGGGTCCCAGGTAAGGAGAGACCATTTTCTACCAGAGACCAGTCAGCCAGGTCCCTGGACTAGAATATGTGGAAGAGAAACAGGAAGGGGATTTACCTTGGTTGAAATCGCCGAACCACATAACCCAACCTCTTCAGGTGGCTGAAGACCTCAAAAGAAAAAAAAAGGAAGCTCAGATGGCCACTTCTGGAAACACCAATTGCTTTCTCCAGACACAGGCCATCCCCAAGCCCTCCCTGCCCCTCCTGTACGCCCCCAGCTTCCAAACCCTGCAACTAAGGTTGGAGCATGCTCCATTACGAGCACCACCCCCAAAGATCTCAGGCTCAGAATTCCTATGTCCTCCCACTTACCTTACTCAGCACAAATGACATTTAGCCATTTCTTGACTTAAATGCAAATCCCAAAAAACTGATAGCCGTGAAACCAGAAAACCACCACGCCCTGAAATACTTGAGTATTCTGATACCAAAACTCCTGAGAGTGAAGCTGCTGACCACCATGGGAACAAAAAGATGGTAGAAGGTGGTGGGCATCTCCCCAGCCCCACACCTCCACAGATACAGGTAGGGTGTCCCTGCATTCATATCAGAAGGACGTACACAAGAACGTCCCCCATCCTGCCTGATCTCTCAGCAGCCTTCAGCATAGCTAACTCCACTTCCTCTTTGAATGACCTTCCCTTGGCTTCTGTGATGTGACTTTGGTTTTCCTATTTTGTTTTTTTTTTTGAGACAGAGTCTCGCTGTGTTGCCCAGGTTGGAGTACAGTGGCTCGATCTTGGCTCACTGCAACCTCTGCCCCCCAGGTTTAAGAGATTCTCCTGCCTCAGCCTCCTGAGTAGCTGGGACTACAGGCTCATGCCACCACACCCAGCTAATTTTTGTATTTTTAGTAGAGATGAGGTTTCACCATGTTGGCCAGGATGGTCTCAATCTCTTGACTTCCGCCTGCTTTGGCCTCCCGAAGTGCTGGGATTACAGGTGTGAGCCACTATGCCTGGCTGCAACTTTGCTTTTTTCCTGTATCACCAGACACTCCTCAGTCTGTTTCTGCCTCTTATCTGCCCCCTAACCTACTCACAGAGCCCCAGGGCTCAGACCCAGCCCTCTTCTCTGATGGCAGTCTCATACTGTCCAGTAGTTCTAATACCATCCAGGTGCTCATGGCGCCCATACTGACATGTAGCCTTGACATCTCCCCATGCTCCAGACTTGGAATCCAATTGTCCATCTGCTTAACATTCACTAGGATGTCCAAGAAGCTCCTCAAAATTAACTTATCCGAAATAGAGCTCCTTTGTCTAGTCTTATCCTCCCAAATCTCCTCTTCATTCTTCACAGTCAGAATACGATAGTACCCTTCACCCACTTGCACATGCCCAAATCATGGATGGTAATCCTGGGTTCTCTCTCCTTAATCCTGACATGTAATCCATTGGCAAAGTCCTATCCATTCTTTCTCTAAAATATTTCTGAGATTCATCTATTTTTCACTCACTGCAACCCCACCCACCCCAAACCTGGGACAAGCCCCCACCTTCTCTCACCTCAATGAACAGCCCAGTCTCTTCCAATTCTCCTCCCCCACCTTATCTTCTGCCAGCACTGGGTTCTACCTGAAGCCAACAGGCCACCACTGCAATGTAAGCCTCTTGACCGCACAGCTCTCGTCTGCTCTGCAGTCCCAGCATGTGACATTGTGCCAGGCACCTCATGGGTACTTGTCCATACTCACGGATTCAGTGGATGGGTGGCTCCTGGGGGTGCGGTGGGGATAGATACCTGGTACTGCAGGAAGGTCACAGTGTCATCGGTTAGCAGCAGCTGGTAAGCTTCCTGGATAGACAGTGGCAGGTCTTGGTGGAAGAGTTGGATGGAGCCCTGGAAGTGGGGCCAACAGCTCAGCTTATGAGCCCTCTCTGCATTGCCACAAACTAGTGGGGCAACTTCCTGGCTCTGAAACCTCCCCCCCTACCTCCCAGCAGCACATCAAAAATGTGGCCAACCAGAAAAGCGAAGCAGCGTCACTAATTTGGACTGGAATCCCTGCTCCCTGCAAAGTACTACCTCCTGCTCTAGAAGTTCGGTTATCCGTTCACTAAAGACCGGGTTGTGTGTGCTTTTTCTCCGATAAAACGTGTCCTTCCCATTCTTCGGTCCCCACCCCTTCCCGGGCCCCACTCACACACTCCAGGAGATATAAGGCCTCTTCCGGGTGAAGCCGCTGCCGGCCCTGCTCTGAGAAGCCCATGGTCTGCCAGAATTTGCCCTGTGTGGGGCCCAGAGCAAGTGTCACAGGGGAGGGAGGAGGGCAGGGAAGGCGGTTCCCGAGCTTGGAGCCCGCCGCTCACCGCAGGAGACTTCAACTCCACGAAGCCCTCTTCCGGCCTCCACTCGGCAGCCACCAAGCTGCCCCTGGCGAGGAGTGGGGAAGGGTCCGCGTCAGTTCACGCGGGAGGTTCCCGCGGCCCGTCTCCGCCCCTGCTCCTCCCATTCCCCGGGCCCGCCCCTCTCACAGGCGCTCTACGCGCTGCTCCGCCAGCAGCTGCCAGAGATCCTCCCGGCACCTGCGCAGCCGCTCGGCTTGGGCCGCGGAGCCGTCGGGCAGAAAGTCCTTGGGGCCATGCGAGCGCTGGGGCAGCTTCTGCGACCGCGAGCGGGCGGCAAAGAGCTCCCGGGCGCTGTGGGAAAAGGGGACTCAGGATCAGCGCCACCCATCGGGGGCCGCTCGGCCCGGTCTGGGAGCTGGTTTTCCTACCCGCGCTGGTCTAGCGCCCTCCCCCGCACATCCCCCTCGGGCCGGGCCGCGCTGCGCCGCACCTGAGCACGCGTCCCGCAGGAACCTCCACTGCCGCCGGCTGGGGTTCGGGCTCGCGCTCAGGCTCCATCCCGCCGCCGCCTGCCGCTGCGCGCGCTGCCACGCCCCGCCCACCACTGGAGCTCCGCGCTGCCCTAGCGCCCGCCGATCCGTGCCGCCGCGGCAGCCCGCCCCTTTCCCCGCCCGCTCGGCGCCCTCCTGACTGTCCCGGGTCCTAGTGCCCGCACTGAGGCACGCGCCCCGACGCCGAGGCTCGGAGCTCAGCCCGCAGGTTGCTGGAGGTGCAGGATTCCCTTCTCCTCTTCCCAGCCCTCCTCGGGGCTTCTCTCCAGTAAAGCCTCAGGAGCCGGAGGCTGGGAGGGCAGTACGAATGGTCACACGTGTTACCGCCCCTGTGCAGCCCCGCGCTGCTTAGTCCCCACCGTCCGGGCTGGGCAAGAAGGGCAGAAGGGCGAGCAGAGGGTGCGCAAATTCCGACTTTGCAGGCCAAAGGACACCCGGGGACTGTCAGGAGTGGTCCGGGGAGGTTTGCCATTCCTTCGGGATCTTCCGTCGGGTCCCTCCGGCTGAGCTGGGAAGCCAGGTTTCAAGGGGCAAGGGCGGGAGGCGCTGTCCGGCACGCGACGGTGCTGAAGCGCCACCTCCGCCCGGCACGAGCGCCTCCTAGAGGCTGGGGTCCCCGCGCCGCCACCCGCGGGCCGCTCGGGCGCCGTCCGCTAGGTGGTGCTATTGCCCGGCCAGCAGCCACGGGTGGACGACACCGGCCGCGGGCGGAGAGTACTGCAAGTGGGATCCCGCGTTTTGGTTGCCAACCCCCTTCACCTTACGTCTTCTCTCCCACCAGTCTGACCCGGAGTGTCTCGCCCTTGAGTCTAACTCCAGGGCCCCAGCTCCACCACCCGCCGCCTCTCCCTTTTACCTGGGCGCATGCGCTGATCCGGTCAGCGCCCCCGGTGCGGGCGGACGAAAATGGGGGCGGGACCTGGCACGGATGGGGGCGGAGCCGCCGCAGGTGACTGACAGCCTTACTGCGCGGCCGGGACGGTCCCTCCGCTCCCGATCCGGCGGGAGGGAGGGGGGAGGGGCGGGATTTCCTGCGGGAGGCGCCGAGCCGGCCTTGGAAAAGGAGAAGGAGAAAGCGGGGCGGGGGGGTGTGGGAGCCACCGTCCTGAGTGCCAGGGACCGAGCAGGGCCAGCCGGACCCCGGCGGGCGGCCGGGAAAGGTGAGGCCCGCGCTGGGGGTCAGCGGCCCTGGGGGCGGGCGCAAACTAACTTTCCTTGCGGGATTCGCGGGCGCCTCCACTTCCCCGCTCCTTCCGCCCTCCTCGCGCCCCTTTTTCCATCCTCCGCGTTTATACCTCGGGGCTTGGCCCGCCCGGCTTCTCCCGCCGCTTTGTTCCCCGGGTGGGCCTGGGCTGGGCTGGGCTGGGCTGGGGGGTTGCGCGGCGCTGGAGGGACATTCCGGGGGGCGGGGGAGCCAGCCCGACCCCAGGCACTGCCAAGGGCGCCCTCCGCCTGTGTCGGCAACGGTCCCCGAGTGGGAGTGCCCCTGGGCTGGGCTTGGGACATTTGGGGACTGAGGGGTTCCCGGCTAGGGCCCCAGGCCTGCGAGGATCTCATGCCACAAGACTTTGGCAACAAATTCGCTGCCACCGAGAAACTGACGTAAGCTTCTTTGCAGTGGAGTCCAGGGTTTGGGCTTCAGGTTCAGGCCTGGGGGGCTTGGGAGCCCGTTTATCAGCCGTGCCCCAGCTCTATCTGTGTTCGTTGCCCAGCTGCTCCTCCACCCGACACAAGGGGCGAGGACAGGTCAGCAACAGGTGCTGTGAGCTTCGCTCTCCAGCAGAGCCCCCAGAAACGGGGGGCCAGAAGCACTTCATGCCCTCCGTTCACAATGAGCCCTAGGGCTAGGGCATTCAGCCTTTACTCCTCCGTAGGGAGGAGTCCGGGGGTTGGCGCCTTTGACAGGGAGTGACCCCTGCCCGCCTGCCTGTGTCTGACCCTCCCGGCCCCACCTCCTGGCCCGCCAGTTGTCTGTGGGTGTCGGAGCCTCGGGCCGTGGAGAACAGGCTGCTGGCCCGGCCTGCCCCAGTATGTCATGCTGCCAGGGCCCCTCCTGCCCAAGGTTGAGGTACTGCCAGGTGCCCTGGGGCCCCAGTGACTCAGCCTCCCCCTCCCAGAATGCCACCTCCCCCCCACCAATACTCCTCTCAAGCATGGCAGCTTCCTCCGAACTTGAAGTGGCTCAGCTTCTCCATCAACTCTGAGTGGAGCCAGAGGGGCTTTGGGGCTTCCTTAAGGTCCTGTCCTGCTCATCCTCTGCACCCCGCTTCTGGAAGCCTTCCAGGCTGTGGCCCAGCATTCAACAGACACACTGCCCCTTTTCCAGACCCCTGGGACCCGTGCTGCCTGAGGCCCAAGGGAATGCTGGCTGCTCTCTGGGTGGGCACTGGTGTTCCCCAGCCAAGCCGGGAAGATTGGTGTGCCCGGTCCCGGCCCATCCTGGAGCTGTCGGAAGCCACAAGCTGATATCCATCCAGATTTCCACGTAACCTCCACCCCCACAAAGATTGGCTTTCCTTCCTGTGGTGGCAGTTCACATAGCACCTTTGGGAGTGTCCCTCAGCACCTGACGAGGAGCCCGCTGCCTGGGACACCACACTTGCTCCCCCAGAACCGGGAGCCCTCCAAGGAGCTGCGGCATGGTGCCCTGACACCCCAGCTTGGACCCTTGCCTGCCTTTGCCCTGGACTCCTGAGCGCAGAGCTCAGACCAGGAGCCAGGATGGGTCGTGAACAGGACCTGATCCTCGCTGTCAAGAATGGAGATGTGACCGGTGTGCAGAAACTGGTGGCTAAGGTCAAGGCCACAAAGACAAGTGAGTGCTTGGTGGGGTGAGCATCTAGCTGAGGCCCTCTGAGTGTTCAAGTCACAGAGGTTTGGGGCATGGGGGTGGGTCACTGTGATCTGCATACTTGAGGAGGGTGGACTGTCTTGTTCTCAATAAGAAGGACCTCTGTGTGTGAGAGCCAGAGAGAAAGTTGGGTTCCCCTTGCTGTGTGTCCTTAGGCAAGTCACTTAACCTCTCTGGGCTGCAGTTTCCTTGCTTGAAAAATGAGAGGGTTGAAGTACATTCATTCACGTTGTTATTGAGTGCCTATTGCTTGTCACCCAGGCTGGAGTGTAGTGGCATGATCTTGGCTCACTGGAACCTCCAACTTCTGGATTTAAGCCATTCTCCTGCCTCAGCCTCCTGAGTAGTTGGGATTACAGGTGTGTACCACCATACCTGGCTAATTTTTTTAAACACATTTTTGGTAGAGGTGGAGTTTCACCATGTTGACCATGCTGGTCTCGAACTCCAGACCTCAAGTGATCCACCCACGTAGGCCTCCCAAAGTGCTGGAATTATAGGCATGAGTCACGGCGTCCAGCTCAGGCTCTGTTCTAAGCGCTGGACCATAGTAGTGAACAAAACAGACCCAGATTCCTGTCCTCATGGAGTCGCTTTCTAGCAGGTGGTCTTTCTGATGTGTTCTTTGGAGCCATGGGGTTTCTTACAGTGGGTTGGAGAAGACTGAATAGATAGAACATCCCTACCCCCAACCTCAAACACACACATTTCAACCAGAGCATCTCTGTGTTTGTGAAGATATCTGTAAGATAGCTTTTTTTTTTTTCTTCTTGAGATAGAGTCTCTATTTCTCACCCAGGCTGGAGTGCAGTGGTGCAATCTCGGCTCACTGCAACCTCCGCCTCCCGGGTTCAAGTGGTTCTCCTGCCTGAGCCTCCCAAGTAGCTGGGATTACAGGTGCCTCCCACCATGCCTGGCTAATTTTTGTATTTTTAATAGAGACAGGGTTTCACCATGTTGGTCAGGCTGGTCTCGAACTCCTGACCTCAGGTGATCCACGTGCCTCGGCCTCCCAGAGTGCTGGATTACAGGCATGAGCTACCGCACCTGGCGGCAAGACTGCTTTTAAAAAGGGAGTTCTACTGCTTAGAAAAAGTTCAGAACTTTTTAAGCAGTTGCTAAAGTCCCTCTTACCCTGACATGTGTGCTCTCTGGGGCGGGGAGGGGGCACGGTGGCCAGAGCTAGTTTGCTGGAGGTTTTCACATAGCCTGGAAGCACGATGCACTAGTGGACACACCTGAGCCCCATGTCTTGGGTTCCTCTGTGGTGAGACCCCCCTACAGGGAGAATAGACCCCTGGGCTTCAGGGAGAGCTCTCTGGGCTGTCCCAGGAGGCCACTGGACTTGTCACCTTGAGATCCTAGATCAGCATGGGCAGGAGGTGGGTCCTACCACCAGACTGAGGCAGGAGGAGTTTCCTGGATGGGAGGGCCTCCTCTGGAGTACAGGGGCTCTAGCCCCAAGACACACCTTGGCCATGTGCACTGGAAGAGTCCCCCAGGCTACCTGAACACCTGGGGTCTGGGTACCAGAGGAAGGGCTTTAACCTCATGCATCCACTGGCATATCAGAGTGGGGCAGGAGACCCGGGGCCCGGAGAGGTGGTGATGTGGGGTGGTCTCTGTGCCTAGGGAAGTGGACACAGGGTGAGTGCCACAGGGGAGGTGCTAAGGAGGTCCCAGGGGAGGGCCCTAAGGTCCAACAGTGCAGCCACTCCCCTCAACTGTCACCTCTTTGTTGTTTTTGGCAACCTGCCCAGTGGGGCCTTGGTCAAGCTGCTGCTGGCCTTGCAGCTCTGGGGCCTCAAAGTGAGGCCCTCAGGAGGGAAGGCAGGAGGGGTCTGGAGACCAGTGGCTGGAACTGCAGATCCAGGCTTTTAGGCTCTGAGAAGGTCCCTTGTGCCCAGTGGGAAATGTCTGTGGGGAAAGAGGTTTTCCTTTGGTCCTATAGGGGAGAATTCACCCTGTGCAGGGTACAGGCACAGTCACAGCATGACTGGGGCCTGGGATTCCTTGTGAGGCCCTGGCACTGTGCCTCCTCCCAAGTCCTCTGAGAAGCTGGTGACAAAAGTGAGATTACAAGACAACATTTGCAAACCTTATAGTTTATGAAATATTATAATTTCCTTACTTGCCTCTGAGATAGGTATTTCAATATTCATTCTGCAGATAAGGAAAGTGATGCTCAGAGAGGGTTATGACTTGCCTAAAGTCACACAGCCATAGCATGGGAGAGCAGAGGCAAAGTTGCACCCTGTTCCCTGTGCTCTGCACTCAGCTGCCCATCAGAATTCCCTGTTCTTTTCAGAGATGGAGGTCTCACTTTGGGAGGTCGAGGTGGGCAGATCACTTGAGGTCAGGAATTCGAGACCAGCCTGGGCAACATGGTGAAACCCTATCTCTACTAAAAATATAAAAATTAGCCAGGCATGGTGGACCCAGCTACTCCAGAGGATGCGGCAGGAGGATCTCTGGAATCAGGGAGGCAGAGGTTGCAGTGAGCTGAGATCACACCACTGCACTCCAGCCTGCGCAACTCATCAAGAGTCAGTCTCAAAAACAAAACAAAATATAGGGAAAGAGATGGGGTCTCACTATGTTGCCCAGCCTTGAACTCCTGGGCTCAAGTGATCCCCCCACTTCAGCCTCCTGAGTGGCTAGCACTGCAGGCAATGCCACCATGCTGGCCTAGGGATTGTTTTAAAAGTACAGACTGAGCCAGATGCAGTGGCTCATGCCTGTAATCCCAGCACTTTGGGAGGTCAAGGCACGTGGATCACCTAAGGTCAGGAGTTTGAGACCAGCCAGACCAAAATGGAGAAACTCCATATTAGCCAAGTGTGGTGGCACACACCTGTAATCCCAGCTACTTGGGAGGCTGAGGCAGGAGAATTGCTTGAACCCAGGAGGTGGAGGTTGGGGTGAGCCTAGATCACACCATTGCACTCTAGCCTGGGCAACAAAAGCAAATCTTCGTCTCAAAAAAAAAATAAAAAATAATAGAAGTACAGACTGGGCCAGCTATGATAGCACACACCTATAGTCCCGGCTACTCAGGAGGCTGACACGGGAGGATAACTTTAGCCTAGGAGTTTGAGACTGGCCTGGGCAACATAGTAAGATGCTGTCTCTACAAAAAATTATGAAATTATCTGGGCATGGTGGTGCATTCCTGTAGTCCCAGCTACTCAGGAGGCTGAGGTGGGAGGATTGCTTGAGCCTGGGAGGTCAAGGCTGCAGTGAGCCGAGATCATGCCATTACACTCCAACCAGAGCAACAGAACAAGACCCTGTCTCAAAAAATTAAACAAATAGAAGTGCAGACTCCTTGGATTCCCCTGAAAATCAGACTCATCAGAGGACCTGGGACTCTGAATCAGGACGTTCTCCTGGTGATTCTAATGCAGTTCTCAGAAGTGGGGCTGGGGACTCTTGCTCCATATCACAAGAAAGCAAAGGAAACTGCTACAAGGGAGGTGTCAGGACTCCCCTTTTTCCTTCTGAGGGGTAGCTGGAGCTTTATAGCTATCCAGAGAGAGAGAGAACAGAGAGGCGGGAGATGCTCCCTCAGCCTCCTCCCTTTGATATCTGGCTGATTCTCTGCCCTCACCCAGGTCCCCTTCAGGGAGCAGGTGGCTGAGAGAAGAGGGATACAATTATCCTGCCCCTGCCCCCCCATACCACTCCCTTTTCCGAACAATCTCCTTCTTTGGCCAGAGGAAATGGGGTGTGCTGGGGCGGCCGGCTGAGCTCACATCCTCTGCCCGGGAGCCTAAATCAGGAGCCACCCTTCCACCCCCAGCGCCAGGCCCGGGAAGTAGGTTGTACCGCAGAGGAAGTGCCTGGAACTGGGACCCTCTGCCCTACCGCCAAGGTCCCCAGCCTGGTCATTCTGGGCCTCTCCCCCACCGCCTTTCCGGCCATTGTTCTGGAAAGAACAGAGCCACCCAGCCTGGCCCTTGCCCTGTTCCTGTCCCGCCTGTCACATTGTCCTGCCCCTCCCTGGAGGAACTGCATCCCGCCACCCAGCTGCCTCATCCAAAACTGTCCAGGCTGTTGGAGGAGGAGGGCTGATGGAAGAGGAGGCAGCTTGAAGGGCGCTCTGTGACTCTTCCCTGCTGACCTTGTATTCACTGGGACTCAGAGAGGTATGGTGGCAGGCCGAGGTCACACAGCCAGAGTGAGCATTTGAACTGTACACTTCCGCGTCTAGAGTCCCTCTTCTTTCTACTGCCTCAAATAGTTCTGTATGAAAAGGGGAAATGGTTCTTTCCAAGGGGACTGGAGAAAAATGGAGTCTGTGTTTCTTCCCAGTGGCTGCAGCCCCTTTAGCTCTTTGTCCCTCCTTGGCTGTCCTTACCTTTGTGGCACAGTGTCCTTCAGCTTGGCCCTCAGTGTAGCTGTCCCCTGCCTCCCCGTGCCATGCTTCCCACTGCAAGGTTGGTCCCTCCCCTCCCTGTTGGAATGATTCCCTGTCCTGCCCAGGCTACTGGGGTATTGAGGGGCCCACCGGAGCCTGGGGGGGCAGGCCTGGGCCAGCACGCTTGGCACTCCGCCCAGCCTCGTTGAGCCAGGCTCACTCCTTCCCTGCAGGGTTCTAGCAGGAGGCAGGGGCCGCCCGGGACAGGCCTTCCTTCCCTCCCCAGTGCTTCAAGAACCACTCCCACAAGTTCCCTGGATCACTCAGGGAGCACACCTGCCTGAACCCTGCCCCGAGGGGTTGGCCCCAGCGCCTCTTACCACCGACCTGCAGAGTTCTTGTCCAGGCCACGGACATCTCAGCTGAGACCCTGTCGGTGCGGAGTCAGCAGTAGCAGGGACTCCCCAGTCTGAGAACCCATTGGGATCCCAGTGGGAACAGTGCGGCTCCTGTGCCAGCTCTTGTTGGAGGACCATCACCCTAACATCGGGATGGTACTGACCAACACATCAGGAGGGCTAGATGGCGAGAGCACCTCTCTTTGCATATGACAAGGTCAGGCACTGTACTCACAGCCCCTAAGAGAAGGTTCTGATCAGCTCATTTTACAGTTGAGGACACTGAGCCTGGGAGGTTAAATGACTTGTCACAGTCACACAGCTAGCCCCTGGCAGAGCCGGGGTGGGGTAGAGGCCTGACTGATGTCACCTTCCCCTGGAATGCCCCAGGACTGGGCATAGTGGCGCTTCAGGCAGCATCTATCCTGCCCTTGAACACCTAGTGCCTCTTTCCTTCTCTTCCCCCGCCCCTCGGCCCAATAGGACAACGTGACTCACTGCCTGGCCCATTCAGGCAGGAATGCTAACCATCCACACCGTGGGCCTGTCCGCTGAGGGCACATCATGCCAGTCCCACCCCCTGCCCCCTTTGGCTCTATAAACAAGTGGGGCTGGGGCAAGGGGAAGCCAGGCACTGCTGCAGCAGCATCCTGCCCTGGCTGCCCTCACGCTGACAGGCTGGTGGGCCAGGGTGGGAGCCACAGGGACAGGACAGGCAAAAGGCCATGGGGCAGGTGCTTTCCTGCACACCAAGAGGTCAGCTGGGCTGTGACAGGAGGGAGGAGGGATGCTGGGTGAGGGCAGATCATCTGATGGCCCTGATACCTCCTCTCCTGACCCAGAGCTCCTGGGATCCACAAAGAGGCTCAACGTGAACTACCAGGATGCTGATGGGTGAGTGGGAGCCCCCTTCCCTCTGCAGAGCTGCTGGGTGGGAGCAGTAGAGCCCCAGGGGTGGGACTAGAAGGAAAGATCCTGAGGCCCAGGGTCCTTTTGGCCTCATTTGCTTCAAGTTGTGGGTCCTATCCCTAGGGCCAGAGGGAGGGGGCACCTGCCCGCCTGTGGAGTTAGCCCAGAATGAGGGGCCTTCTGGGGTCAGATTCCTTTGGGGCCCCCTTTTCTCCCTGGAGGGTAGGAGCCCTCAGGCTCCTGCTCCCACGGCCCCCTCCCCTGGGCCAGCTGGGAATTGGGGGCCAGACAAACAGGCCTCTCAGTGCAGACACAGAGCCCTTTCATGCTGTGGCCCAGCCACTGCGCTCCCACGGCAGGGCTGGCAGGGTGGAGTGGCCAGTAACCCATCCCTGCCAGCCCCCAGGAGAGGTTTGGGTATGGAAGACCAGGATTTGGGGGTGAGGGCTGCCCACCAATACCCCCAACTTTGTGTCCCCCCACACCAGATTCTCTGCCCTCCACCACGCCGCTTTGGGGGGCAGCCTAGAGCTCATAGCCTTGCTGCTAGAGGCTCAGGCCACTGTTGACATCAAGGACAGCAATGGTGAGACCCCCATGTGGCCCTGACCCCCACCCTGGGCAGGTGGGGGCCCTACCCAGACCCTGGGACCAGAGCTTGCTCCCGTTACAACATAGCAGTGCTAATAGATGGTAGCACAGCTTCTCCAGGCTTGCAAGTGGCTTTTCCCTGTTTAATCTTCACAGTCTTCCTGCATAGAGGGTGGTACTAACATCCCATTATTCAGATGAGTAGGTTGAGGCTCAGTGAGGTCTTGTCGCTGTCCTGGGGTCATCATCATCTGAGGTGGGCACAGTGGGACTCTGGCTTCAGCCCCGTCGAGCCGGACCTCTTCCTGAACACATGCAGGTGGAGCTGGCATTGCATCCCCTGGTCCCCCCAGCTGGCCTGGCTCCATCCTCTGCTCATTCCCTTTCCACCCCCAACGCCACCCCAGGACCTTCCTTAGAACCCCTTTCCTCCTGCCAGGCATGCGCCCGCTGCACTATGCAGCCTGGCAGGGCCGGCTGGAGCCTGTGAGGCTGCTGCTGCGTGCCTCCGCAGCCGTCAATGCCGCCTCACTGGATGGGCAGATCCCCCTGCACCTGGCCGCGCAGTATGGACACTATGAGGTGGTATGTGAGGCTGCCCACAGGGACTTGACACAGGGCACAGTAGGGTGCTGGACAAGCCAGGCCCCCTCACTTGCCTCCCCTTGACCCTAGTCAGAAATGCTCCTCCAGCATCAGTCCAACCCATGCCTGGTCAACAAGGCCAAGAAGACACCCCTGGATCTGGCCTGTGAATTTGGCCGACTCAAGGTGAGGCCCATAGCCTTGGTGTGCTGGGTCCTAGATGTGTACAAGGTCTGAGGAAGAGGCTTTAACTGGGTACTGGGTTGCTGTAGGTGGCCCAGCTGCTATTGAACAGCCACTTATGTGTGGCACTACTGGAGGGTGAGGCCAAGGACCCGTGTGACCCCAACTACACCACACCCCTGCATTTGGCTGCCAAGAATGGCCACAGAGAAGTCATCAGGTACCCTTGGGGCACCCCCTGCTTCTTCATCACCTTCCTGTGGGACCATCGGTGCCCCTCAGTGCCCTCCCCCACTGCCCTCTTTACCCAGGCTCTCCATCTCCCAGCCCCCAGCAGCCAGTGTCCCCTTCTGCCCCACCTCCCCATGACTCCTCCGGCCCACTGCAGGCAGCTCCTGAGAGCCGGGATAGAGATCAACCGCCAAACCAAGACAGGCACAGCACTCCACGAGGCCGCACTGTATGGCAAGACCGAGGTGGTGCGGCTTCTCCTGGAGGTGGGTGTAGGCCCCTGCTCCCTCCCAGGGGTCTCTGGAGCCTCTGCCTTGGGCTCTGACTGGCTGGGGAGGTCCGGGAGGGAGGACTCCAGCATGGCTTTTGCATGGGCGTGAGGGAAGAGGCCTGATTTCCTTCTGAACGATGCTGAGGCAGTAGAGATGGATCAGGAGCAGACCAGCCCAATTCGCTCTCCCTTACTAGCTGAGTGAACTTAAGCTTGTCCTTGATTGAGTCCCTGAGCTTCTATTTCCTCGTCTGTAATACCTGAAAATGATAATAGTACCTACATCCCGGGTAGCTGAGAGAAGTCGGGGAGAGGTGTCAAAGTGCCTAGCGTGTGCTCATGCGTTACTGTGCACCCAGGGAGGTGTGGACGTAAACATCCGGAATACATATAACCAGACAGCGCTGGACATAGTGAATCAGTTCACCACCTCCCAGGCCAGCCGGGAAATCAAGCAGCTACTTCGGGGTGAGTGCAGGGAGGAGACCCTGCCCAGGAGGCCTGGTGGAGGGGGAGTGGATGTCCCTGGGGAAGGGTTGTCAAGGGGATATGGGCTGGGAAGGTGCCCTAAGGACCCTTAGATGACACCTTTCCCCGACCCCGTTCTCTTAGAGGCCTCAGGGATTCTGAAGGTCCGAGCACTCAAAGATTTCTGGAACCTCCACGATCCCACTGCTCTGAATGTCCGGGCAGGGGATGTCATTACGGTGAGGGGCCCCAGGCAGACATTCCTTGGCACATACAAATGATTGCGGTTACTGATTTGGGTACCTGGCTATGTTACCAGGTTCTGCTCTGAGGTTTCTATATTCACCCTCATTTAACTCTTCCCAAAGCCAGGGAAGGTGGTATGATTAGCATTTCTTATTTAGAGATTACAAACTTGAAAATTAAACAAAATAAAATTAAGAGAAATTAAAGTGACCTGCCAAAGGCACACAGCTAGCAAGTAGTGGAGCTGTGATTTGACCCCAGGCTGCCACCAGGGCTCATCCTGGAGGCACAGGGGAGATTGGTCTGGCTGCTGGCAGCAGGGGCAGAATGTGGGCCAGTGTGGGCATCAGAGGCCAGGTCCTTGGGGGCAGGGGAAGAGCTGGACCCCAGTGGCTGCAACTGCAGGAACAGCTATTTGCCGCTTGCCTGGTGCTGGAAGTGACCAGGTCCCTGCCCCCGACCTCTGGCTACAGGTACTAGAACAGCATCCCGATGGCCGCTGGAAGGGCCACATCCATGAGAGCCAAAGGGGCACAGACCGCATAGGCTACTTCCCCCCAGGCATCGTCGAGGTGGTCAGCAAGCGGGTGGGTGTTCCTGCAGCCCGCCTTCCCTCTGCACCCACCCCCCTGCGCCCAGGCTTCTCCCGGACACCGCAGCCTCCTGCTGATGACCCCTTGCACCCTCTTACCTGTGGCCAGCTTCCTCGGATGGGCCTCAGCCCAGACAGCCCAGGTACATCCTCCCAGCGGGCAGTGCTGGGCACTGTGTGGGTGTGTGGCCTGGGCAAGCTGCCAGTCAGCTGTTGGCAGTGTCCCCTGGGGCTCTGACCCCGTGGCTTCTCCCCCCCACAGCAGGTGACAGGAATAGCGTGGGCAGCGAGGGCAGTGTGGGCAGTATCCGCAGTGCTGGCAGTGGGCAGAGCTCCGAGGGCACTAATGGCCACGGCCCTGGCCTCCTGATTGAGAACGCCCAGGTAGGATGGTGAGGTCACGAACCAGGGCAGGGCTCACTTCCCACTGCCAGCTCCTCAAATGCTAAGTTAGCTCCTGCTCTGTCTCCAGCCACTGCCCTCAGCCGGAGAGGACCCGGTGCTGCCGGGACTCCACCCACCATCCCTGGCAGGTAGGAAGGGTCAGGGGAGCTGGGTTGGCTAGGAGAGGTGCAGGTAAGGAGGCCGAGGGTGGGTACCCCTTCTTCCTGCCACCTCTCCATTCCATGTGTCTCCTTCCTTGAAGACAACCTGAGCCACCGCCCTCTGGCCAACTGCCGCTCTGGGGAGCAGATCTTCACCCAGGACATGCGGCCGGAACAGCTGCTGGAGGGGAAGGTGTGACCTCCCCTGGGGCCCTGGGACTGGGGTGGGTAGGGCAGGGAGATGCAAGGGCCTGGGTATGGACTGAAGTCCTGCTCAGGCAGGCCCCTGGGGGAAGGCTGGGGGCTTGGCCCAGTTCCTGCTAATTCTGCCCCCTTCCCCCACCCCACAGGATGCACAGGCCATTTATAACTGGCTGAGTGAGTTCCAGCTGGAGGGCTACACTGCCCACTTTCTGCAGGCCGGCTATGACGTGCCTACCATCAGCCGCATGACGCCTGAGGTGGGTGCTGCAGCCTGGGAGCAGTGCCCCGTGGGCCGGGGAGGGCCCAGCAGGCAGGGGAAGGGCCTGATGGCCAGACTCTTTATGGCAGGATCTGACAGCCATCGGGGTGACCAAGCCTGGCCACAGGAAGAAGATCGCCTCAGAGATTGCTCAGCTCAGCATTGCTGAGTGGCTGCCCACCTATATCCCGGTGAGCCATCAGGGTGGCTGGGGAGTAGGGCATGTGCTGGTGCCTTTTCCTCTCTGGCTGGGGGCGGAGGCTGGCCAGGAGCTGTTTTGAGGATGGTGCTCTTCCAGACGGACCTGCTGGAGTGGCTGTGTGCACTGGGGCTGCCACAGTACCACAAGCAGCTGGTGAGCAGCGGCTACGATTCCATGGGGTTGGTGACCGACCTCACCTGGGAGGAGCTGCAGGAGATCGGGGTCAACAAGCTCGGTGAGGACTGCCCTGAGGCCTGGCTGGGTCCCCACCCACCTCTGGGGTCTCCAAGAAAAGAGAGAATGGGGCCCAGTCATGACCAGGACAACCCCAGCCCCAGCTAACCTTGCCACTTCTGTTTCCATCTCAGGGCATCAGAAGAAGCTTATGTTGGGGGTGAAGCGGCTGGCAGAGCTTCGGCGGGGCTTGCTGCAGGGAGAGGCCCTCGGTGAAGGCGGGCGCCGGCTGGCCAAGGGTCCAGAGCTGATGGCCATCGAGGGGCTGGAGAATGGAGAAGGCCCAACTACTGCCGGCCCGCGGCTTCTCACCTTCCAGGGCAGCGAGCTGAGCCCAGAGCTACAGGCAGCCATGGCAGGGGGTGGCCCTGAGCCACTCCCCCTCCCACCTGCCCGCTCTCCCAGTCAGGAGAGCATCGGGGCTCGCTCACGGGGGTCTGGCCATTCACAGGAACAGCCTGCCCTACAGCCCAGTGGTGGAGATCCTAGCACCCCCCAGGAGAGGAACCTTCCAGAGGGCACAGAGCGGCCCCCTAAGCTTTGTACCCTACTTCCTGGCCAAGGACCCCCACCCTATGTTTTTATGAGCCCCCAGGGCTCCCCCTCCAGCCCGGCCCCAGGGCCACCTCCTGGCGCACCCTGGGCCTTCTCCTACTTGGCTGGGCCCCCTGCCACTCCCCCAGACCCGCCTCGACCTAAGCGCCGGTCCCACAGCCTGAGCCGCCCTGGCCCCGAGGAGGGGGATGCCTCGGGGGAGGCCGAAGGGCCAGTGGGCAGTGCCCTGGGCAGTTATGCCACCCTTACCCGGCGGCCAGGACGTAGCGCCCTTGCCCGGACCAGTCCTAGCACTACCCCGACCTCAGCTCGGGGGACTCCTCGCAGCCAGTCCTTTGCCCTGCGGGCTCGGCGCAAAGGCCCCCCACCCCCACCCCCTAAGCGCCTCAGCTCTGTCTCTGGCCCTACCCCAGAGCCACCACCCCTAGACGGGAGCCCAGGGCCCAAGGAGGGGTCCTCAGGGCCCCGAAGGCGAACACTGAGTGAACCTGCTGGTCCCTCAGAGCCCCCTGGCCCACCTGCCCCATCGGGGCCCTCGTCGGACACAGAGGAGGAGGAGCCAGGCCCCGAGGGGACGCCCCCATCTCGGGGCAGCTCAGGGGAAGGGCTGCCGTTTGCAGAGGAGGGGAACCTGACCATCAAACAACGACCTAAGCCCGCTGGTCCCCCACCCCGAGAGACACCCATGCCCCCGGGCCTCGATTTCAACCTCACGGAATCAGACACTGTTAAGAGGAGGCCCAAGTGCCGGGAGAGAGAGCCGTTGCAGACTGCCCTGCTGGCCTTCGGAGTGGTCAGCGCCACACCTGACCCTGCTGCCCCCCTGCCCTCTCCAGCTCCTGGCAAGTCTCCTTCAGCTTCTCCTAGCCCTCCTCAGCCTGAGCCCAACAGCCTTCCAGCCCAAGGAGCCCCAGCTCCCCTTGTTCCCAGCCCCACCACACAGCCCTCAGTTCTGCCCTGCCCAGAGCCAGGTCTGGAGAGCTCAGTGGCTAGTCAGCGGAATGGGGAGACAGAACCCCCAGCCACCCCTGCTGCCCTCCTCAAGGTTCCTGGAGCAGGTAAGAGGCAAGGCCTGTGGGAGAGGCACCACTGGCAGGGTTACGTCCGGCCCAGCCAAGACCCAAGCCAACCTTTTTGTTTCTGCAGGAACAGCCCCCAAGCCTGTATCGGTGGCCTGCACCCAGCTGGCATTTTCTGGCCCAAAGCTAGCGCCCCGGCTCGGCCCCCGTCCAGTGCCTCCTCCACGGCCTGAGAGCACGGGGACTGTGGGCCCAGGCCAGGCCCAGCAGAGACTGGAGCAGACCAGCTCGTCCCTGGCAGCTGCGCTGAGAGCTGCAGAGAAGAGCATTGGCACTGAAGAGCAAGAGGGGTGAGGGGGGCTGGCAGGGGAGGGTGAGAAGGCTTCGGAGAAATAGCGGTCCCTGCGCCCTCTGCCCAGAGCTCCTGGGGATGTTGGAGGGGAACATTGCAGGCACCAATGGGATAAGAGGCCAGGTGTTGGAGTCACCCAGATCTGACCTTCAGGGAATCCTAGTGGCTGCCATTTAAGAGGCATATGAGTCGGAGCTGTCCCTTGCCTCCCTAAACCTCCAGGAGCTATGACAGCCCCCTGCCCCAGGGCCATTGGGGTGCAGGTCACTGGCTGACCTGACCGCGTCCTTCCCCTTGCTGCAGTGCCCCCAGTGCCTCCACCAAGCACATTCTGGATGACATCAGCACCATGTTCGACGCCCTGGCAGACCAGCTGGACGCCATGCTGGACTGAGCCCTCCAGCAGAGCCCACTATGACCTGCCGACATCCACTGCCTTTGCCCCAGCACAGAAGAGGCCCCTGTCCTCTAAAAAAAAAAATCCTAGGGATGGGCCAAGGGCTGGTTAGGCTAAAGTGCCCCTTCTAACAGAGCCCCTTCCCACTGTAAGCCAGCAGCTGTGGGTGTCGCAGCTCTTGTGGGACAGGCCCACCTTATCAGAACCTGACTAGCCAGGGACCTCCACTGCATCTCAGCTAAGTCCCTCCCAGGGTGAGGCCATACATTCAAGAGTCCTGCTCCTGGACAGGGGCCCTGGTAAGAGCTATCTCCTCAGGGAGGAAGGGGGGATGGTAAGGCTTTGGGGGTGCTTTCTCTGTAACCCCCAGCCTGTGTCCCAAGTCACTGTGCCAAGGGAAGCCTCTTTCCACCCACCGTGCTGCCCAGGCCCTCAGAGGCCAAAGGAGACATGTGTCTGGCCGGGCCCCCCCTCCATAGGTGTACAGAGGACATGTAAATACACAGCTTCTGCCCCCGCCTTCCCTCGCTGAGGCAGAGCTGGCAGGGGTGGGAGGCAGTGGGGTTAACAGATCCCACAAGTCCAACTTTTCAATTGTAAATATTATTTTTTAAGCAGAGAGAAATGCATATATTTTAAATGGAATTTATTCTATTAACTACCTGAGAGGATGCAATGGGAGAGGGGCCTCAGACCACAGCAGAAGCCCCCACTGCCCACCTGAGGGCTGGGAGCCTGACCCCGTTGGCCCAGGCCCTGGCTCTGTAACCATTAACCTCTTGCCCTAACTAACACCAATGAAAACACCATTCCACGTGACCGGGCTGTGTGTTTGCCTCTGTGACACGGGGAACCCTGACCCCATGGGTCTCAGCTGAGCCAGACCTGAGAGACCTGCCAGTGCAGATGGAGGAAGGCTTACGCCTCCCTTTGCCAGCCACTGCCATGGGTGAGCAGACCCTGGAGTGGCCTTACGGACCAGCCACAGGTGTTTCTTAAGCAATTGACACATTTTAATACAAACCAGTCTACATTCATTCCTAAAAGGCTCATTTCCAGTAAAAAATATACACCAGTAGAAACTTCTCCCAGAATTGGGGCAGGGGCTGAGGAGACCTAGGCCAGATTCCCTAAGACAGAGGCAGGCAGCTTGAGCCAGGCACAGAATAGGCTCCAGGGCGAAGTGGGGGCCCTGCTCCATCTTCATCAGGTGGGAGACTCCCCCACAGAGGGAGGGAGGGGAGGCAGTCAGGGCCACATCCAGGCCCCTGCCCCAGGAGGATGGGATGAGGAGCATGCAGCACCACCCTGCCCTCCACAGCAGCCTTGGGAGTTGGACACATCGGCCAAGGTTGCTGCTGCTGTTGCTCCTCCAAAGAAGGTTCACTTCAAGGCCATGTCCAGGGACCCACAGCAGAGGCACTGGGGGGCAAGGGGTCCCCAAGGGGGCAGCCCACAGGTGAGGGGGTGAGGGCCCCTCTAGGGAGCACCTGAGGCCATACATTCAAGAGTTCCTCTGGTGAGGCCCACGTAAGAGCCAGGACTGGCCAAGGGCCCAACCCGTCAGCTCCTCCACAGTAAGCCCCAGGGCTCAGGAAGACAGCGGGGTCTGATGCGGGGAGCTGGGCTTCCAGTGCCATGGGGGTAGGAGCAAACCCGGAAACATTCATGATACCAACTCCCAGACCCAGAAATGGGTCTGGCTTTTGCCCCAGGGATGGAGGCAACTGTGGCCACACAGCCAGTGGCTCAGAAGGGAGAGTTCATGCCCAGCTTAGTTTCAAACTGCAGCTTCTGTCGCTTCTGGTAGCGGACTCGGACCCTGGTAGGGCAGGAGATTAAAGTACAGGTTGGCAAAGATCCTTAGACCAGGGGCCTGGGCAGGTCAGCAGAGGAGGAGGGAGGGACGGGTAGCAGAAAGGTGGGTGAGTGTCGCCAAAGGAGTGACGGGTTTATGGAACATGGTTGAGCCCAGAGGGAGGCGCCCTGCTGGCAGCTCACCGAATCTCATGTAGCTTCACGACCTCATTGGTGACCACCACAAGGACCAGGGACAGGCAGCCCAGGAGCCATGTCAGCAGGGGCACATCCTCCAGGCCAAAGTGGACATGGCTGTCCCTGTGTGTCCACAGCTGCAGGTCCACAGCTGTCTGGACCACCTGACCCAGCAGCCTGCGCGAGGTAGAGGCCCTGTGTGAACCCTGACACTGCCTTCGTCCTTCCCTGCTCTTCCCAGTACAATTGGCTCAAGCAGGGCATGGTTAAACCCCTGGCCCCAGTCCCACCCTCCAGTCCTTGCCCTGCAGAGCCCCTCTCCTCCCCAGCCCCACTCCACCCCTCCATTCTAGCAGTACTCACACCACAGGCACTGTCACGGCCCACCAGAGGTTGGTCAAGGGGCTCTTTCTCCACAGGGGCTTGGTGCGATGCACGTGGGTGATAGAAATGAAGACTGCGGAAAGTGGGGCAATGTGGGGTCAGACTTCCACAGTGGGGCCCCTCCCCACCATCATCTGCACCCTCCCAGAGAGCCCCCTCACCAGTGTGCAGGACAATCAGGGCGGCCGTGAGCTTCTGAGCCGACAGCAGTCCGTTGGCAAAGTCCTCAAACCAGGATGGAGCCCTGTCGTTGTTGCTGCCAAAGCGAGGTGTGGGCTCAGCCCCTCTGGGGCCGCAGGGAGGTAGGTTGGGGTGGGGAGGGAGGAAGCCTAAAGGTGAGGCAGGCAATGATGGCTCTCCAGGCTGGGACTCACCTGGGCAGCATGATGGATGAGCAGTTGGTAAGGTTGTGGGCCCGGGAGCTGTCACAGAAGCTCTGCAGCGTGAAGCCAAAACAGATGAGGCATGAGCTGATGGTGAGGCTGAACTTGAGTAGGAAGCAGAGCAGGAAGTAGTGCTGAGTCTGCCAGGGAACAAGGCCGGGTCACTCCTGGGGCACATGGCCCCTTTACCAGCTGCTCCTGGCTCTTCCACATATTCAACAGGTGCTTAGTAAATGGTCGGGCCTGGGGGGATAGAGAGCTCACACCCCACCAAGGATCCTTCCCAGCTCTGTGCCACCACCTCCTCTTTGATCTGGGGAATGACTAGGAACCGAGTGCTGGCCTCCCAGTTCTGCAGGAGTCCCCATCCAGAGCCTTCCAGATTAGTCCCTCTCTCCTCCCACACCCCTCGGTCCCTTCCATGCTCACCTGCAAGGCTCACAGGGTCTGCTTCGCTTACCTTCTTAGGAATGGACTGAAGGTTTTTCCCTGTTGCCATAGACATGATGGAGCTATGGGGGGGCTTCCCCAGCAGTGAGATGCTGAAAAGCAGAGATAAGGTACAGGGATGGTGACAGTGATCCTCTGTCCCCCAGTTCTCACAGAGGGAGCTTCTAGGGAGTCTTGAGCATGAGGTCAAGTCTGGTGAGGGGATGGAATAAGACAAAGGCCAGGCGCAGTGCTCACACCTGTAATCCCAGCACTTTGGGAGGCCAAGACAGGTAGATCATCTGAAGTCAGGATTTTGGGGCCGGGCACGGTGGCTCACGCCTGTAATCCCAGCACTTTGGGAGGCTGAGACGGGTAGATCATGAGGTCAAGAGATCGAGACCATCCTGGTCAACATGGTGAAACCCCGTCTCTACTAAAAATACAAAAAATTAGCTGGGCATGGTGGCGCGTGCCTATAATCCCAGATACTCAGGAGGCTGAGGCAGGAGAATTGCTTGAACCCAGGAGGTGGAAGTGGAGGTAAGCCGAGATGGTGCCATTGCACTCCAGCCTGGGTAACAAGAGCGAAACTCCATCTCAAAAAAAAAAAAAAGGAGTTTGAAACCAGCCTGGCCAACATGGCAAAACCCCATCTCTACTAAAAATACAAAACTTAGTTGGGCGTGGCTGTGAGCACGTGTAATCCCAGCTACTTGGGAGGCTGAGGCAGGAGAATGACTTGAGCCCAGGAGGCAGAGGTTGCAGTGAACAGAGATTGTGCCATTGCACTCCAGCCTGGGCAACAGAGTAAGACTCCATCTCAAAAAAAGTTTGGATGTGGTGGCTCATGCTTAAAATCCCTCCACTTTGGGAGGCCAAGGCAGGTGGATCATGAGGTGGGAAGTTTGAGACCAGCCTGGCCAACACAGTGAAATACCCCATCTCTACTAAAATACAAAAGTTAGCTGGGTGTGGTGGTGGGTGCCTGTAATCCCAGCTACTCAGGAGGCTGAGACAGGAGAACTGTTTGAACCTGGGAGGCAGAGGATGCAGTGCGCTGAGATCACACCACTGCACTCCAGACTGGGCCACAGAGCAAGACTCTTGTCTCAAAAAAAAAAAAAAAAAAAAAGGCAAAGGAGGTTCCCTCTGTGCCTCCTGTACCAGAGGAGGTGAGCCCTGAGCAGTTCCAGAATCCTAGGCTCCTGGGGCTGCACAGTGACATCCAGACCCCTCCTGCTTGGGCGTGGGGAGTGGGGGAGCTGCATGGCCTCTCACCTGAGCAGAGGGTAGCAAAAGCAGGACAGCCACAGGATGTCAGTAGTACTCAGGAGTGGTGGCAGCTGGACCAAGCAAGAAAGGAACTAGAGTAGCAAAGAAGCCAAGAGCCACAGTTCAATTCAGGCACAAAATAAGGGCACAGGAGCCCCCGAGCTGCCTTGCCCTGGGCCCAGATAGATGCTCACATCCTGCCAGAGGGAACTGGGGCCAGAGGGAATACTCTTCTGCCAATGAGGTCATCTTGGAAAGCCCAGGAGCTTCACAGAGGCTCTAGGGGACCCCTGGACTGTGCTGTTACCCCCAGCCTCCCTCCTCAGATTCTCAGCTGGCCCCTGAGTAAAGTGGTGAGTGGCACAGGGGCAATGCCTATTCGGGCCCCACCTCACCTGGATAACCACGAGAGTCAGCTGGCACTGCAGCAAGAAGAGGAAGCACTTACGGATGCCATAGGTGGCGTGCCGAGCCTGTGGACCGAGAGGAACACATTATGGCCTGGGTCTGCCTGGCCTCTCCCAGGCCCAACAACTGACACACTTCAGCCAAGAGCCAGACGCCCAGGATGCTCCTATGAGGGGAGCAGAGGCTAATGTAACTGCCTGAAAAGGCCCCGCTCAGAAGGCTGGGGTATGAGGTCCCTGGGTCCAAACAGGTCCTGTGCCACTACTCCCACCCCAGGCGGGCCCTGTGTTCTTCCTCCTTCGCCTGCTGAAGCTCCCACCTGTTCAATGAGCCGGATGATGCTAATAGTCTCCTCCTGGCGAAAGGTCAGGGAGCAGGGCAGGCTATTGAGCTGCCCCGACAGCTGCAGGGGAGAAAGGCCATCCGAGGCCTGGGCCATGCTGGTGCTGGTGGCGTAGCCGAAGGTCTCCCAGGAGCAACGGGATGGGTACAGAGGATCCAGGGCAATGCTGCTCAGGATGGGGGACACACACCCTTCAGCTGCATCTCCCACAGGACTGGGCACCCCCTCCTTCATCTCCCACCATGCCCAGGTGCGTTGGTCTCAGCTAGGGTGAGGTCAGCCATGGTACACACCCCCGGCCCCATGCAGGCCCATTGCAGTCTGGGAAGTAGAGGCTGGCCCACAGGCTCCAGGGTCCTGCCCTGACCTGATGTCGCTCTGGAGGAAGAGGCAGCTATTCCGCAGGTTGGCAGAGCTGCCCAGGCAACAGGTCACCTCCCCGTACTCTTGCATGATCTTTATCATCTCACACATGGCTGAGGACGGCATATGAGAGCACAAGAGTCAGGCAGGCAGAGCGCCATGTGGGCGCTGGGTCTCTACCCACAGGACGAGAGTGGGAGGCAACAGGAGGCGGCCCCTCTTTGAAACAATCCCAACCTCCAGCAGTGGGATCATGTGAATGTCGGCACTTTTGACTCCAACCCACAGGATTCCCCAGCTGATCCCAACCCAGGTTCCTTCACTCCCAGCATGGGAAACCTACATCTCTCCAGAGCCCACAGGGTGCCCAGACCCAGGCAGAGCTCAGCCGAAGAGATCAGGCTGCCCAAGTACCCTTGGCCACAGTACTCACTCTCCGGGGTGCAGTCGGTGAAGAGGGGCACTAGCAGGGGCACGTTGTCAATGTTCTGCAGGTGGGGCCGCACTTGGTGGATACCCCGGGGTAGCTTGGCCTGGAGAAAGCAGAGATGCCAGTGGCTTCAGGATGGGGACCAGCATCCCTCCCCTTCACATGCCCACCCACTACCTCTCTACCTCTCCCCTCGACCAGCTATGGGGCCACTACAAGGACATGTGAGACAGATGCTGCCATCGTACCCGGTTGGAGTCCTCCAGGAAGCTGGGGATGTCGCTGTCCGTAGGCTGGAAGCTGATGAGGTCCGAGTGGCCCTCCTCCTCCATGAGGAGGAGACCTTCTGCATCATCTCGAGACACTGTGGGGACAAGAGCCTCTCCCTCACCTTGGGGCCAGCTTTCGGTGGGCCTGTCCTTGCCCCGCAGATGGCAAAGAATTTCCTGCCTCCACCTCCACTACTCCCTGCTGACTGCCATTTCCTGCAGGGACATCAGAGCCATTTCCCAAGGGAATGTACTTATCCGGAAGGCTCTCTGGAGGCTCTTCCTGGCTGTGGCTCTGAGGAGGGGAAACTTCCCATCCCCACCCCATCCCCACCCCACGCCTTTGCCCTTACCCTGATTCAGGTCATCATGCAGGGAGCCTGCATGGCTGGGGCTAGAAGGGGGGATCTCAGAGCCAGGCATGTCACCAGTGGGCGTGAGGGAGATGTGGCAGTTCCAGCCTGTCTCCAGGCCCATTTTTTCTGCAAACACCTGTGAAAGGCAGACGGCCTTGAACATACAGGCCCAAAAGCCCGTGGGAAACAGAGTTGGTGGTGGCAGAGGGGATGGCTCTCCCCACCTTGCTTTTCAGCTCATCCTCCAAAGAGAAGTAGACAAAGCGGATGCAGGCATTGACCAGCCCATCAATGAGGCGCACGATGTCCAGCCGGGCCTGGTACTGGGAGGACACCATGCCCATGAAGATCTGGCCGCTGAGGGCCTGCATGCAGTCTTCCTTCTCCAGCACCTCCCCGATCCCTTCTTCAGGCAGGCACGAGGCACAAAGCCCAGCCAGGACACACAGGACACAGCCCATCCAGGAACCAGCAGATTCCAGGAGGCAGCCAGGGCCACACACACAGATGCCACACCCAAATCAAAGAGCACGCAGGCCCCAGGGGACCACACACAACCGCACACACACACACACACACACACACACAGCCAAGACACAGAAGGCGCCAACAGACACAGGAGGAAAGACAATGAAAAGTAGGCATCAGTCAGGTGGATGGGAGCCACAGGGCATGGCTTTAGTTCCTGCTCAGTCCTGTTCGAGGACTGAGGTACTGGCCCCACCCTCAGCAACTGCTTCAGTTCACAGTCTCTTGGGTTCTGGGGGCCCCCTCTGCACCAACAAGGTGAGAGACGTGGTCTCCTGTCTGATTCTGCCAAGCCTAATGCTGCATGAATGCTGGTTGGTAACTTCCCAGGAAAGCACTCTGATGCATGCTATACATTTGAGCATCATGACCAACCAGAGAGGCAGGCAAAATGAGCATCTCTGGGTAAGGGAGAAAACTAAGGGACTCCCCATGTCACTGGATAGTGTCGCACTAACGTCCCAGCCTGGGGCTGTGGCCACTGCACCCTTTGCTGTGGTGGGTGCCAGGGCCTTCCAGAAACCCTCCCTGCCTCCAGGGCTTCTGCAGTCCAGGGGAGCCCCAGCACTGGCCCTGCTAGACAGACACACGAGGTACCATCAGAGCTCCAGCTGCTTCGGCGTGCATTCTGCTTGATGGGGATGGTGCTGGGCAGCTCGCACGTAGTGAAGATGCTGCTCTGGCCGGGCACCTGTACCAGCTCAATGCACTTGCCATTGAGCTGAGAGGACAGGGCACAGTTCATGGGCTTGTAGGCGAAGGCGGAGCAATACCCAGACAGGCAGGCTCGCTGGTAGAAATCCAGCACTTTCTTTCTGCCAGGGAAGCAGGCAGAGGTGAGGTGAGTGGTCCTGCCTGTGAAGGGTAGGGGCACCAGCAGAGCGGCTGCTCTTACTGCTGGCCTGCACTTCCTCACCCACCTGTCTGATCCCGAGAGAGGATAGATGTCAGCTCCATCCCAGAAGTCTGTGCAGGCCTCCAAGACCACGTCAGCAGTGCCATGGGACAGCATCTGTTCTGTGCCTGAGGGGAGAGAGGTCAGACCCTGAGTGTCGCTAAGCAGCCCCCCACCCTCGCTCTGACCTGACAGGCTGCATGCTGTCCTCCTGGACAAGGGCACTGAGGAGCCCCTGACAGTGGAGGAGACTCCCTGGGACTCACGATCAGGCAGGCTCTGCAAGGCTACTGGGCTTGGAATGCAGACACCATATTCCCATCCTCTGGACAATCCCAGCCTCTGCAGCCAACACCATCCCAGCCCTGGTCCCCAAGTCCAGCCCCTGCCACAGCAAAGCACTTTGGAAGCAGCCCACTGTTCCTCTGCCCAGGCCTCCCTAGCAATGGGCAGGGATGGACAGAGCCCCCCTGACAAGCAGGTTCTGGAAAGTCTGGCCTGGTGCTGGCCGAGGTGGGCGGAACTCACTGGTGGTGGTGTCTTTAATGAAGAGGCTGATCATGTGGCTGAGGGGAGGGCGCCGCTTGGTAACACAGGAGAGCCGCCCCAGCGAGGTCTCCTTCACTGTCTCGGCACTGGGGAGGCGGTACAGTGCCAAGTGGTTTTCCTGCTTGAAGAGTTCCTTGGCCCCAGGAGTGAAGCCTGTAGGGCAGGGGACAGGAACTCAGGGCCAGGCCCTGGCAATGCCCAGCCAGGTCCATGAAGTCCTGTGACAAGTCGGTGCTGGGCCTCTTCTGGGGGCAGGTCTAGCCAACCATCTCCACCAGGGGGGCCCGTACCAATGAGGCGGGCGAGCTCGCAGAGGCCCCAGGGCACATGCACGGGCAGCACAGCACTGTGGCTCTCTTGCAGGGCGATGTTGCACAGGTGGTCGGAGAACCGGCACAGTCGCTCGGTGACGCTGGCGTTACACAGGTTCAGCAGCACATTGAGGCCGAGGGGTTTGAGGGACGTGAGGTGCAGCTGCCAGTTGGAGTCATCAAACTGAATGCAGGAAGGGTTCTGCTGGTCCTGGGACAGGCTCAGCATTTCCAGGTGGTAGTCGCACACAAAGTCCTCTGCTTCATAGGGGTCGCCCTCCATCCCAGGCTGGGTCTAGAGGAGACATGGAGGGGAGCCTCAGCCCGGGAGGGGCTGTGGGGAAGCCAACAGTGGCTCCACCTGCCTCCCAAGGCTGGGGAGGACTCCTGTCCCTGAAGGCACCCTTCCCAGGAGACAGCTCCTGCCTACTCTCTCCCCCTCCCCTCCCTCCTGAAATCAGCTTCCTGTCCTTCTTGAGCTCCTGTCTGCTTCTAGGAACTTATTAATATATCTCATGATACTGGCAGGAGCCAAAAAGAGGGGTGGCCAGACCAAAGAGGACACAGTTGAGGGGTCTTTTGTGGCCAGAGAACATCTCTGAGAGGGAGCCTGATGTGTGTTTGGAAGGTTCCAATAGGGACACCAGAATGGAAGGGAGGCTCTGTCTACTTCGCAGCAGGGACCAGGAGAGAGGGCAGGGACCTGCTCTTTCAGACCCTATGGGGCCAGGCTGGCCAGGGAGGCCAGGACGGCCTGTGGCTGAGGGCACGGCTGCCCCGTGCTACCTCCTCCCCTCACCTTGCTGGGCTCTTCTTCACCACCCTCGGTGTCCCTGCTGAAGCTCACGTTGGAGCCGGATGGGTGTTTGCTGCGGCTGTGCACTTTGTGGTAAGAATAGGGCTCAGAGGGCTTGGGAGTCTCCCCAGGCCAGTCACCGCGCTCCTGCTCATTGGAAAGGTGCAGGGTGTTGTTCAGGGAGCCAGCCAGGAGGGCGTCTCGTTCATGGGGCTGCAGAGAATGAGGAGCACAGGCCTAGGACTGGTGGTTCCCTCGGACCAGTGAGGCAGAATGCTTCTAGGTCCCCTCGCTGCCTTGTGCTGTGGCTTCACCTCACCTGCCCAGCAGATCCTAATGGTGCCCAAACCCTCCTTTGCCCTCCTAAACCTCACCCTCCCTGGCCAGGCTCCAAGGCTAAACAGCCTGGCCCAGAGTAGGGCCCACAGGAGCCGGCCGTACCTCCTCCTCTACCTCGGGATGGCAGAAGGAACGGGTGGACAGGCCATCCGTGAGGTCCTCGTGGCTGCTGTGAGGGGGCTCCACCTTCCCACTAAAGAATAGCACAGTCTCTGGGCTGGGATTTGGCCATGACAGGATCCCCTGTTTGTCCACACAGCACAGGACCTGCATGGAAAGTGGTTGAGATAGGAAAGGGGCCTGGCATTAGCCCACCCTGCCCAGGGGCCACTCAAGTGGCAGGTGGACAGCCCAGGCCCAGCCAGAGAGCAGGACAGGCACAACAGGTGCCTCCCCGCCGCACAGCCCACCCTCACCGTGACAGAGCCTAGGCTGTGCAGCAGGCTGGAACTGTGGCTCAGAGTGGGTGACGTTCCCCGGAGCACCCTCAGGAAGTGGCCCCAAATGCAGCGCAGCATTTCCTGGTGGGAGAGGGCAAGTCTGCAAGGCCATTCAGGGCTCAGCCTCATTTCCCTGGAGACAGCCTCCAGGTGGAAATCCAGGGGAGCCCCATAAATTGGGGTGGAGAGGCACTTCTCTGGGGCAGGGCGTGGATGTGTAACGGGAACAAGCCCAGGTTATGTCCACATGTATCGGGTGGACATGGGGTTCCAAGAGCCTGGCTGGAGGCTTTGCAGCCATAAATAGGAAAGTCCCAGGGTTACAGCTCTAGAGACCTGTGGGAGAAGCCATCCTGGGTCAGTGTTGTACCTGAGAGGAGACGGCCTCCGTATAGCTGCTGAGAGTGTCCTCTGAGAACTTAGCCAGCTGCATGGAGAGAAGGTGAGAGCCTCAGTGAGGAAAAAGCCAGCTTCACACAGGCGTCTCCAACCTGGCAGAGGTGAGGGCCCACACCAGCGGGACTCCCAACCCCTTCGGTAAAGGGCCCAGTCATCCTGACTCTCCATCTGGTGGAAGCCAGGGTAGGTGCTCACCCTCACCCAGGGCCTGGCTTGGAGGCCCTTCTGGAATAGAGAGGGACTGAGCCCTGGAGAGCTGCCCGGGCCGATCAACACGCCGAGCCCAAGGTGGGGCTGGACTTCTGCCCCGTCCTCTGGCATAGCTAACTCTTTCTGTTCCTGTCACTTCCCCCAGACGCCTTGGAAGAACCTACCAGGGAGCTGGGCGAGGCCTTGCTCATCTGGGCCAGGACACGGGCCTCTCCACAGGCAGTTGCCAGAACCCAGAGGACTGGAAAGAGCAGGGGGAGGATGGGCAGGACACCATTCACCTGGGAAGGAGCAGACCACACAGATGGCTCCTGAGCTCTGAGCCTGGGGAGGAGGGAAGGGAAGGGCTGCCCTGGCCCCATGGCCATTCCCTGGGCAGGAAGGGCCAGGTCTCTCAGGGGCAGGAAGGGAAAGAAGGGTTCTTAAGCTGAAGCTTGAGGGGACCTCTGGGCTGCAGAGAGGGAGGGACGGCTAGGGTACTGGAAGAGGGAAGCATGACAGAGAGGATAGGGTGGTCCTTGCCTGGAGCTGGAGGAGGGTGTACTGCCAGGAAGTGAGCCCCGGGGCACTGAAGATGAAGCGCAGGGCATTGGTGATGAGGAAGCCAGCCTGTCGGGAACAGCAGAAGCACAGCCTGGACCCCTTGGACCCCCTCCCCTGCCTCAAGGGGGACCCAGGCACTGCCACTCCCCTTCCTTTGCTAATCCACAGGCCAGCTTGCCCTGGGGCCCTCTGTGTTCACTCCCACTCATGTGAGTGGCCTGAGACCCCCCCACATCCAGCCCTCTCCCCTGCCCCCGATGCACAGCCCCACCGCACACACCAGGACCACGGGCACAGCATAGTGTAGCATCACCGACTGCACTGTGAACCGCTCATTGTCCAGGGCAGTGACTGGACGGGACAGGGCCATGTCCAGGCACCATCTGCAGAAAGAAGTGACTGTCAGTCCCACTCAGTGGAGAGGCCAGAAACCTGCACCTTGGGAGGATTCTGGGCCTCTCTGCCAGAAACCGCTTCTTCGAGCACCATGAGTCCTGCCGTTTCACACTCTGCCCTGGCCCTGGCCCTGGCCTGCATTCACCTCCAGAGCTGTCCCCTCAGAGTAGAGATTGGGAGAGGGCCCCACCTAGTCTAAGGATTCTCACAAGAGGCTAAGGACAGGAGCCTAAGGAGATGTCAGCCCTCAAGAGAACCTTGAGATGAACAGAACCCCTTCCTTGTCAGTCCCATCCCCCTCTTCACGGAAGGTACCAGGGACAGGAGGAGGTGGGGTGGCATCCCTACCTGACATTGTCAATCACAGGGGTCTCAAGGACACGGAAAAGCCGGTGCTGCTGGGGGCTCTGTGGCCCTCTCTCCACTTCTCCCCGGGGTGAGGGTGGAGGGGAGAAGGGGGGGAAGAGGTCTCCCGGCTCCAGGACAATGTGCTCGTCATCCTGCCGGCAGCAAGTGGGAAGGTGGGGGCAACGAGAGGGTCCTATCAGAGGCCACTCTTCCTGGACAATTCAGCTAAGTACAGACCTCCCCTGGGGTTAGGGACCATCAGTTAGTCCAGAGTCCACTGGGGCAGGGCCTGCAGGACTGGATTCTTAGCTAGAATAAAGAACAGTACAGGGGACCAGGCGTGGTGGCTCACGCCTATAATCCCAGCATTTTGGGAGGCTGAGGCAGGTGGATCACCTGAGGTCAGGAGTTTGAGACCAGCCTGGCCAACATGGCAAAACCCTGTCTCTACCAAAAAAACATAAAAATTAGCCAGGTGAGGCGTGATGGCGGGGTGCCTGTAATCCTAGCTACTGGGGAGGCTGAGGTGGGAGAATCACTTGAACCCAGGAGGCAGAGGTCAGTGAACTGAGATTGTACCACTGCACTCCAGCCTGGGCGACAGGGTGAGACCCTATTTCAAAAAAAATAAATAAATGTAAATAAAAATAAATAAAAAACAAACAAAAGAACAGCAGGGTGATGGAAGATGTTCCGGGGCCTCTGCCAAAAAGCCAGTGAGCTGGCCGGGAAGCTGCAGGGTGGAGCCCCTCCCGCCATCGCCTGTGGACCACACATCCAGGGGAACAGGAAAGCCTCAAGCTACCTTGATCCCCCTCAGAGAAGCAAAGGATTCCTGGCCAGGCCTCAAAGCTATGATGTCTCCTTCAACCAGCAGGCTGACTGGCAGGTTGACCAGGTGTCCGTCTCTGTAGGCCCAGTGCAGGGACCAGGATGGCGCAAAGGGCATGTGGAGGTCTGGATACATGGCACTGGGCCACTTGATCTCCCTGCCATCCCTGAGGGCATCTGAGGGAAATGGAAAGGGGGAAACAACCCTCTCAGCCTCAGCCCTGCTTCCCAGTCAGATACAGCAACACCTCCAAGCACTGCCTGCTACCCAGTCAGATACAGCAGCATCTCCGAGCACTGTCTGCCCACTTCCTGTCCCAAGAGGTCTGTTCCAACACTTCTCTGCTTTCAAGGACACCTCCTTTATAAAGCTCTACCCAACCACTCCAGCCCCAGCACCTCTACCTCCTCTCAATAACTGGAGCTGTCATTTCTCTGTACCCATATCCCATTCAGATACACTTCACAAACAGTGTGGAGGACCTGTGAGAGGTGCAAGGTGGAGACAACATGGTCTCTGGCCTCAAGGAGCCATGACCCAGTGGGGGAGATGAGACATGTGGACAGATAACTCCAAACAAGACAAACATGGCCAAGTGTTAACAAAGATCCCGTGCTGCAGGAGTCCAGAAGAGTGAGCAAACCGACTTGCTGGAGCAACCAGAGGTGGCTTCCTGGAAGAGTAAGCATTGGGGATGGGCCTGGAAAATGGGTGAGAGTTTGTCAGCTGGAGACAAGGGAGGGAGAAGCTCACCAGCAAAGAACAGGGGATAAAGGCACAGAGGCAGGTTGATACATAGTGGGTCTAAGACTGGTGAGTAGTTCTAACATGAGAATGAGGAGAAAGAGACGAGGCTGGAGAGGAAGGTGAGCGTGCGTTGGAGGCTCTGGGAGGCCACGTGTGCATGTGGGATGGCTTCCATAAGCAGGAGGGAGCCACTGATGCTCCCAGGCAGGAGACTAAGCTCTGGAAAGCAGGATCCATTTTTTGCTGTTACCATTGCACTCCCAGTGCCTGGCACGTGGTTGCAATTAGCCATCTCAGAATGAAAAGACAAATTCTCACTTAGTACCTGAACATCCACTGCCCAGTTCTGTCAGAGGAAGGTCTCATGAGCGGCGCTGCTTCTCAAGAGCACCACATGCCCCTGAACAGCAGGAGCCACAGTCCCTCAAAAGTGCCTAAACAACCCTCAATCCACAGCCAAGCTTCATGAATACCACCTGAATGAAAGGCCAAGCAGAAATCCAAGCAACTCCTGGCCGAGCGAGGTAGCTCACGCCTGTAATCCCAGCACTTTGGGAGGCCGTGGCGGGCGGATCACCTGAGGTCAGGAGTTCAAGACCAGCCCAACCAACATGGAGAAATCGCATCTCTACCAAAAATACAAAATTAGCCGGGCGTGGTGGGGCACGCCTGTAATCCCAGCTACTCACAAGGCTGAGGCAGGAGAATCACTTGAACCCAGGAGGCAGAGGTTGCAGTGAGCCAAGATCACACTATTGCACTCCAGCCTGGGCAACAAGAGTAAAACTTCATCTCAAAAAAAAAAAAAGAAAGAAAGAAATCCAAGCCACTCCCTTCCCTTTTGGAACTGAGCTGCTCTACCTCAGGCTCCTGGTCCCCTACCCTGCCCCGATTCCTGCAGGTATCTCTGTCCACCCCCACGTCTCCCAGCACAGAACACCAGACAAGATGGACTTGAACGAGAAAACCCCAACCATCCTCCTGCCATGTGGGGGTCTTCCCTGTAAGTTTCCCAACATGAGCCAGCCCAGAAACCCACCTGGTACCCCTAGCCTTCCTGCCTGCCCAGCCCTCTGCCTGGGCACCCAAGACCGTCCCACAACACTCACTGCTCTGCTCAAAAGAGGGTGGGCATCCTTCTAACTCCCCAGATGACACGAGCCCCTGCAATGCTGGCCACAGGCAACCCATCTGTGCTGGGGTGCAGGAGGGGAGTCCTCAGGGCTCTGATATGTCTGGGTCATCTTTTCCCACCAACATGCCTGCCCTTGATGTCACCTTGGATTTGGTCAATGATCCCGCGCAGCCTCCGCTCTACCTCCCGACGCTTCAGCCGGTCTTGCCGCCCAATGAGCACAAGGTTGAGAAGCAGCAACAGGAACAAGGCCGAGGCATTCACCAGCCCCACCCCACGGCTGGCGGGAGGAAAGAAAGGCTCACCCACCCAGCAGCCCCCAGGCCACCGCTCCCCTTCCCACCCCAGTCCCTTGTGGAAAGAGTATCCCATTCTGGTGCCCTGACACCAGCTAGGCCTCTGACCCCAGTCAAGGGACTGAGGAGGTTCCCTTACATCCCAGGAGCAGCTTGGAGATGGCAGCCCCCTTGGAGCCCTGGGCTGTCCCGAGTGCTGCAGCAGGATGGAAGGGAGAGCTGGAGAGGTTGGGGAGCAGCCCCTGGGTGCGTACCTCCCGGCCGGCTGCCCCCCGAAGCAGCCCAGCAGCAGCAGCACTGCCAGCAGCATGAGTGAGGCCCCTGGCCAGTGGAAGCAGGAGCAGCGGTTACTGTGGTGGAGGAAGCTGCTTCTCCACACCTCCTGGGGAGGAACAGGGCGGGGCAGTGAGAGGCCAGTCCTACTCCAATCTGGCTGCCTCCCCTCACACCCTCCCCAGCCCCCATGGGCACCTTGGTCCCCTCCCTTTGACCTCGGCTGTGTTCCAGCCTATTGAGCTCCTGCAGCAAGCAGGCGCGGGAGCCACTTGAGGGGAACCCCAGCTGCTTTCGGATACTTCATGAGGCCTCAGTTGGGTCACACCACCCAGGGTGACAGGGTGCATCACAGCCCTGAGTAGGGGCCTCCCCCACTGCTCTGCCATCCCAGCCAGGCCCTGGTGGCCCCAAGAAGAAACTTCACCTTCCAGGTCAGACACTTCTTCCGCTCCCTGAGATGTCCCTCCAGCACTGCCTCCAGCTGCTCCTTCAGGACGCTGAGGGCCTTCCTTGTGGACAGGCCCAGGGCCGAGGGAGGCTCGCCCTGCAGGCAAGCAGGAGGCGCTCGGTGTCACTGCCAAGCCGAGGCTGTGCAAGGCAGGCAGGCCCCAACCCTCCCCTTCCCAGGCCCTTCATCCTTCCCCTCCTCTGGGATCCTCACATCTCTTCCCCTACCAGCTCTGGCCTCTCAAGGTATGACCAGGTCCATCTCTACCAAATTACAAAGTGTTCAAGTGCACAGCCTCCTACCCTACTCTCTAAAGCCAAGTTAAAAAAACAAAACGTCTTTCTATATTCCATGTTCCCCAACTCACTTTCCCCACTGCCACCACCAGGCTCCCTGCCCACCCAGGCTGTGCTCCCCACTGATCTCCTAATTTATTGCAACAGGCAAGTCTTTGATTGCACGGTTGAGACAGCGTCTCGCTTTGTCTCCCAGGCTGGAGTGCAGTGGTGCAATCTCAGTTCACTGCAACCTCTGCCTCCCAGGTTCTGGTGATTCTCCCGCCTCAGCCTCCCGAGTAGCTGAGATTACAGGTGCACATGACCATGCCCAGCTAATTTTTTGTATTTTTAGTAGAGACAAGGTGTCGTCATGTTGGCCAGGCTGGCCTTGAACTCCTGACCTCAAGTGATCTGCCCACCTCGACAGACAACTCTTGCTTCTCCTTCAATACTCAGTTCAAACATCACCTCCTCTGGGACATTTTCCCAAAACCCAGGGCTACACCCAGGGGAGGTTTATATGTCAGCGTCCTGGGCAAACTGGCCTGCAGCCTACACCTTAGAGAACTGTAATCATAGATATACATGTCTGGCTCTCCCGCCAGACTGCAAATTCCTTAAAAACAGGCATTGAATTCTTCCATTTCTACACACCCTCACCATCCAACTGCTAAAACAATGCATAGCACACACAAGCTCAATGAATACTTGCTGAGAGAATGAATGAATGAATGAATGCACTGATCCCAATGACGTAGCAACAGGAACAACCCAAGTCATTCTGCAGCTTAGTCAAGGTTTCACCTTAATCAGGGAATGTCAGCCCAAAATCTGGAGCTGAGACATGCAGCTTTTAAAAATGTGGATGTCTAGGCTCCACTCTGGACCTAATGAACCAAAATTTCTGGGGATGAAGCCAATCCCAGGTTAGACTTTTTTTTCTTTTTTTAGCCATGCATGAGCAAAAAAATTTGTATTTTAATTTTGCTTACACTTTTCTTTGCCTTTTTTTTTTTCCTTTTTGTGGAGAATGGGGTCTTGCTATATTGCCCAGGCAGGTCTCGAACTCCTGGGCTCTAGCTATCCTCCCACCTCTGCCTCCCTAAGAGCTAGGATTACAGGCGTGAGCCACTGCGCCCAGCCTAGTTTCTTTGTTGGTTTTTTTAATTGAGACAAGGTCTTGCTCTGTTGCCCAGGCTGGATGCAGTGGCGTGGACATGGTTCACTGCAGCTCACACCTCTCAGTCTCCAGCAATCCTCCCGCCTCAGCCTGCAGAGCAGCTGGGACTACAGACGCGAACCACCACACCCAGTTAATTTTCTTTGCATATTTTTTGTAGAGATGGGAGCTCAATATGTTGCCCAGGCTGGTCTTGAACTCCTGACCTCAAGCAATCCTCCCTCCTCAGCCTGCTGAAGTGTTGTGACAGCAGGCATGAGCCACCACACCCCAGCTCTGAGGCCCTGGGACAAAGAAGAGCTCCAGGAAAGGCAATGCCTGAAGGAGGAATGTCTTTCCAGGGCCACCTGAGGAGCACTCATGTGAGCTTCCATCCAGAAAACCTGAGCAAGAGGAGCGAATCCCTAGACCTCAGGCACCAGGAAAGGACTTGGGGCAGCCATAGAGGAGTCTTGGCCATGGGCTGTGGGGCTGGTGACCCCTGGCTGCCTTGTCTCACTGCCCTCCCCACCCCCCACGTGGCCCACAGCTCCATCTTCCAGAGTCCTGCCCTGGCTGTGCCCCCTAGCCTTCTGGACTTCCTTTTTTCCACCTGTCTCCACACACACACCCCCTCTTCGTCAACCTAGCCTCAGCCCTGGCAGGAACACATTCCATAACCACAAGTGGCTGCTGGGCCAGGGGATGCTGTCCCGCTGCCACAGCCTGGCATCACGGGATGCGCCTGAGTGGAGCCCCCAGTGCTGGCCTGAGGGATGGGCTCAGCTTCCAGAGTGGGCCCAGCCCCAGGATTCCCCAGCTCCCTTGCCTAAATCTCACCTAATCCCTGCTCTCCACAGTGGCTTTGGGGGATTATAAAGATAAGAACTGCCTCTTCCCAAAGGGGATAAACTGGTTATTTCAACTCAGGAAGAAATGGTCCTCTGGGCAGGGGCCTCATACCCCCACATGGGTAAATACTGTGCCCCAACCCACCCACCTCCCTTTGGCAAGGATCTTGAGGCCTCCCAAAGAGGCCACAGTCCAGGGCAAATGAATGTCTATACCCGTCCTACTGCCTCCCAGAGTTCCTGACATGGAGAGAAAGAAAGCTTCAGGGAGGGTTGTAAGAGAAGAACAGAAACAGGAAGAGGAGCCCATAGGCCTTCTGTCTGAGGGGCTAGATGTCTGTTCCTCCCACCCCAGGGAAAGGGAGGATCTAGGAGACACAGAGGCTGTACACAGAGACCCCTGGCCTCCCTGTGCCTTTCCTTCAGGCTCAGCCTTCTGAGCTTCCTTGCCACCGAGAGGGAAGTGAGTGTTCCCAGGACACATGTGCCTGTGCCAGGCCTCCAGAAATGATCGAGTGAGAAATACAATGGAGCCTGCAGAGGGGAGGCTGTCTGTCAAGATATGGGGACGGGAAGGGAGGAGGAGAGGAAGGACCAGGCAACCCTACATGGCTGGGAAGATGCTCTGCCTAGAATGAGGACCACACTCAGGAAGGCAACAGTTTCCAGCAAGGCAGAGAAAAGGCTAAGAGGAGTCGTCAGAGAGCCAGGGAAGTGTCCCTCCTCTGGACGGGCCTGAAGATCTTGGACATTCATCGATTCCTGTGGGCCACATGGTGGCTGTCCTGACACCTGCTGCCTCATTCCAAGCAGCCCTAAATCAGGATCTCCTCACCCTGCAAGGCCATCATCTGCTCTCTTGCTGTCTCTACCCCCAGGTACCTTGAAGCTGTACTCTGCTCCCCTCCAGGTGTGGGAGGTAGGGGTAAGAGGGTGGTAGACGCTCCCGGGCAGGGCGCCCGCAGGACTGTCTTTGTGCATCTGCCCCCGCATGTTATGTCTGGTCGGGGACACCAGCTCCAGACTGGCAATTAAAGAGAGCACAGTAGAGGAAAAATAAGCCATTCTGTAATTACATGCTGCCCAAAGGAAGCGCTTGCCCGCACAGGCCAGCCCTGTGGTGAGGACCCGGCCTTCTGGGCCAGTCTGCTCTTTGTAGCCTTCAACTGAGCTTATTCAACTGCCCAGGCATTCACCTCTTCCCTCTCCAGCAGGGGGTCTGAGTTAAGGGACAACTCACTACTCTCTCTCTCTCTCATTTTCTTTTTTTTTTGAGGCAGGGTCTTGCTCTGTTGCCCGGGCTGGATGGAGTACAATGGCACAACCTCGCTCCCTGCAGCCCCCGCCTCCTGGGCTCAAGCAGTTCTCCCACCTCAGCCTCTAAGCAGCTAAGACCACATGTGTGTACCACCATGACCAGCTAGGTTTTTTTTTTTAATCTTTTTTTTGAGATGGTCTCGCTCCTATTGTCCAGGTGGGAATGTAGTGGCGCCATCACAGGTCACTGCAGCCTTGACTTCCCAGGCTCAGGTAATTCTCCCACATCAGCTTCCGGAGTAGCTGGGACTGTAGGTGATGCCACCACACCTGGCTAATTTTTTGTATTTTTAGTAGAGATGGAGTTTCATCATGTTGCCCAGGCTGGTCTTGAGTTCCTGGGCTCAAGTAATCTGCCCACCTCAGCCTCCCAGAGTGCTGGGATTACAGGTGGGAACCACTGCACATGGCCTTTTAAAAATTATTTTGTAGAGACGAGGTCTCACTATGTTGCCCAGGCTTGTCTCGAACTCCCAGGTTCAAGCAATCTTCCTGCCTCCCATATTGCTGGGATTACAAGCATGAGACACCGTGCCTGGCCTGCTTTCTTGGTCATTGTGCCTCAGCTTTGACATGTGACATAAGAGCGCAAGACCTTCGTACTTTCTGAAGGAAGTTCATGATGGATTGGTGGGTGAGTGGGCTCTGCCAGCCTTTCCCAAAGCATGGATTAGGCTGCGTACCCGACCTGCCTGGGCACCAATGGCAGGGCATAGCAAGGGAACAGGTGCAGTTCTTATGATCTGAGAAACAGAAATACAGGTTGACACACACAAGCTGAGGTCGCCTTTTCTTGCCTCCTGGGGCTGAGATGGCTGAGAAAAAAATCTAACCTGGCCTTAAGTACCCAAGGGTGACATGAGATTCTCAGAGCTTCCCACCTGCTAAAAACTCTCACCATGCCAAGGGGAAGGGAGGCCCTGCTTCTCAAATTACATGGATGCTTTTCAGGCAGAACTAACCCCATTCCACTGCACTGCTCAGGCTTAACTGGAGCAAGAGCAGAAAATAACACAGCTGTAAGGAAGTCCTGACTCGGGAGAGGCAGGCAGCAAACAAACGCCCATCACAGGGCTTGCTGTTTCTGTTCTATCATCAAAGGGACGCTGACAGAGCTTGGGGATTTGGAGGAACAGCCGGGTGGTGAAAGAACTCTATCCATCAAATCAGAACCACAAGGAGCTGCCACTGAACAGGCCCAGCTTTGGAGGTCTGAGGCTGAGCACCTGCATAGGCTAAGGCGCCTTCAAGAGCTGACATACCTGAGCTCTCCTGCACCGCTTCTGTCGAGTTTCTCACTCAGGTAACCCAGAGCCTGGGCCCCGTCCCCTCCTTTTTTTTTTTTTTTGATACAGAGTCTTGCTCTGTTGCCCAGGCTAGAGTGTAATGGCTCAATCTCAGCTCACCACAACCTCCGCCTCCTGGGTTCAAGTGATTTTCCTGCCTCAGCCTCCCAAGTAGCTGAAACTACAGGCATGCACCACTATGCCC